GTTAATTCTATTGTTACATACGTTCACATCCCCTGTATTTAATTCATAACCCCCAAAGTCCTTTAATTACTTGTTTAATAATGACTTTCCCTTCTAGAATGTAAACTTCATGAAGTCAAGTATTATGATCACAGTACCTGATATACTGCATTTAATTCTCCATTTTAATCCTGTTTCTGTAGTCTCAACAGCAACACATGCATAATAAGAGACAGACAATGGACAGGTAAGAGCATAGAAATGAAATGTATCAAGATTCCACCTTGGAAAACAAAGAGATTCTCTTTAACCTTAAGAAGAAAAGATCAAATGCTAAATAACTCACTTTCATTGCTGCTTTTATAGTACTGAGTAGAAAATATGAGATTATCTATGTAAAGGATAAAATTTTACATTCTGGAATTTGTGACTGATATGCAGGCCTTATAACTTCAGATTCCAAGCCTCGTCTCTTGCCCTTCTCAATATTTCATTCTTCATAGGGCAAACTGAGAAATCTTTTCAGAGCATAATAAGGTGATATTTACTCCTCTGCTTAAAACCATCCAATGACTTCCTATTACAACCAGGATAGAATGCAAGCTCTCAACCAGCTTCTCTATCATCTGTTCCCTGCTTTCCTCTCTAACCTCCTCCCCTCCAGACTTCTCATTCATTAGGCTCTGGGATCCAGGCACGTTGGTCTTCTTTCTGTCCCTGTAGGAGTTAAAGGCATTGCTGTCTCTTCTTCCAGATCTTCAAGTGTTTCCTCCTTCTTCTTATTTGAGTCTCAACTCAAACATCCCTTTCTCAGAGGGGTCTTCCTTGCCCTCTCCAGCTAAAGCACCCATATCTATCGAATGGCTCTCTCTATCATTTTGCAGGATTTTTTCTTCAGAATCTTAGCAGCACCTGAAATAATAGAATTTGTTCATTTGTTTACATGATTAATGTCTCTGTCCACACAAAGGCAGGGACTTGCCTACTGTTTATTGAAAATATCTTTAGCTCCTAGAATAGTAGCCCATAGTAGGTGCCCCATAAGTATGTCAACTGAATCTTTCTGCATATGCAGGTGCAGGCTAATCAAGCCTTCAAAATCCTAAAGACTTCCAAGGAAATTGCAAAATGTCAAAGTGAATGTGTGGTTTTCTATGACTTTTGCTAGAACACTTACTAAGGAAACCAAATACAAATCCTTTCTTTTTTTTTTTTTTTGGTGAAGAAGATTGTTCCTGAGCTAACATCTGTGCCAATCTTCCTCTATTTTTTATGTGGGTCACCGCCACAGCATGGCTTGATGAATGGTGTAGGTCTGCACCTGGGATCCAAACCCACGAACCCAGGCCACCAAAGTGGAGCACGCTGAAATTAACCGCTATGCCACGGGGCCAGCCCTTCTTCATTTTTTGCCAATCTTTTAATTTATCTTTTTATTGAAAGATAAAATAATTTAAGCATGAAATTAGGGATCAGGAACTTTTGAGAGTCCTTCTCCAATCTTGGAGAAAGCCCATCCCCCTTTCTGTCTGGATAACTGTTCTCTATCTGCTCCTGGCTCCCAGCTTTTAGCACAAATCTTAGAGGAGAATATTCAGAGACATAGGAAGCAGAGAATTTTCTCTGATTCCCCTCCAAATCCAAGCACATAAATGACTGCTTTTCTTTGCACATATATCTGAAAGAAGGGGGTTCATCCAGATAATATGGGTAGATGAAGATGTATCTGTGTGTTATTTCACCTCTGTTGACTCAGGGAGCAATTTTTTTTTTTTTTTTTTTTTTTTGCTGAGGAAGACTGGCCATGAGCTAACATCTGTGCCCATCTTCCTCCACTTTATATGGGATGCCGCCACAGCATGGCCTGACAAGCCGTGCCTCTGTGTGCACCCAGGATCCGAACCGGCGAACCCCGGGCTGCTGCAGTGGAGCATGTGCGCTTAACCGCTGTGCCACCGGGAGCCCCTCAGGGATCAATTTTGAAAAAGGCATTCACCACTAAAAATTGACCACAAAGAATTGGCAAAGTGTATCCTCATGTTGTGAATAACAGGATCAAAAGAGTTTTATAAGTCTACTTTGAGGGGTCATTAGGAGAGGATGTGTTGTTGAGAATGCTCGTACTACAGGCAAAGCCCCACGTGAGAGCCAAGGACCAGGAATTTCAAAAAATCAAAGTAATGAGAGTGGGAATGAGTGAAACAGTTGTGAGATGATCTGATTAAACTTTCAAAAACTGTTTTACTTTTCCTGTGAATGATTCTATGTAGACATGTTTATTGCAGAAAATTTGTAGAACACAAGTAAACAAAAAGACCATGTAAATATTAATCATAATCACTACTGCCTAAAGAAAACCACTGTAAGAATTTTTTTATGTCTATTTCAGTCTTCTATTTGTATATACTTCATGAATAAAAGGGTTGTACACATTTTTTACAAAACTGAATCAGTCATTCTATTTATTTTACTTCACATGCTACTTATTTTTATTTAATATGTCATGAAATATTTTCATTGATCTAAGGTCATTTCCCCCAAAATGCTTTATATAATTAATTGAGCAGATAATATAAGCATGCAGCACAATATTCCAAAAATTAAAGAAAAGTAAGGCCCCTTTTTACTCCTTTCTTCTCCAATAGTAACCACTGCTACTAGGGGAAGTTCTTAATAGATGACTATATGTCTTATAGATAAGGCTGAAACTTACTAAAGTGGTTGATATAGTACAGGCACTATATTAAGTCCCTTTTATAAATGATCTCAACCCCATTCTAGTAAGAAAACTACAACTTATTAAAAAGAAATTGGCTTGAGGTTACACAGCTGATAAGTGGCGATTGGACTTGACACCGTGAGTGATTAACTTAAAACTAAGCATGTGGTATCCAGCACATTCTGTAACTGAATAAATAAGTCTTACAGTGTAATTTGGATAATGTGAATCAGCTATCCCGGGGCTTGCTCAACCCTGGAAGAACCAATCTCAGGGTTGCTGAGCCAGACTCTGCAAACCTGAAGCTCCATCATCATCCTGTCATCCCATTCTCACTCCTTGTCAACACAGCTTTCTGTTTGGTTTTATTGGAATTTGTATTTGCAGGACTTATAGAGGTTATGTCAATACAAGCAAATCATTTTGTGAAGGAGAAAGTCATTTTGATAATTTGGGCCCCTATCTTTACTATTTTAGTACAGCACTTGATTTTTTTTTTTGATTAGCCAAATAACTTTTTTCTTACCACTCAAAAGAGTGGGTAATAAACTCTATACTCAAGTTTACTTTTATAGACAAAGATAAGAATCAAATATGTCACTGAATCATGAAAGACATATTTAATCTACCAGATTCACATTGATTTATTAATATCAGATAATGAAACATGGTTTTATCAATCTTGAGTCATTAAAGTAGGCCTAAGTCAGTAAGGCCAACTGTGCAGAAAATGTCTGAAGACCTAATACAATGTCCTAACCTTTTAGAAAAGGGTATTAGATTATAGTACTAATGAGTAACAAATAGTAATAGTAATAATAATAGTAAAAATAAAAATAGTAATAGTACTGACAAGTAACAAATTATTCTATGAGAATTCTGCTTGTAATTATAATGTGAAGGATATTTTGTATGAATTTCAGTTCTGCTTCTATATGGAATAATAATGTAAAAATATTGATTGTAGGCTAAACCTGTAAAGTAAGGTGTTTCAAAATTAAGCATGTTTGTGAATGTCTTTACTCCACTTAGGAACAATCTAGAACGTGTCTGTGTGTGTGTAAATTGGTACATACATACTTATACACATATAAACACATGGAAAAGTAAATACATAGCACTTATTGGCAGGGTGATCTTGGTCATATTTCAGAACCTAATTTTTTTTGCAATTGGCTTCTCATTGTTGAACATTTTTACATCCATTGACTTATTCTTTCTCAATTTGATAATATTTGAGGTAAATGTACAAATATGACTAAAATTATTTTCTACTACCCCATTAAAATCATGGTCTGATGATCATTAATAAGCCAAAATTACATTCTTTGTATGTTATACCCAAAGACACATTGGGATTTATTCTTTTTAATAGGGAAATTTTTAAGAAAAGTAGTTAAGAAAAGGCAAACTAGGGGGCCAGCCCTGTGGCCTAGTGGATAAGTTCAGCACCCTCCACTTAGGTGGCCTGAGTTCAATTCCTGGGTGCCGACCTACGTCACTCATCGGGGGCCATGCTGTGGCAGCAACTCACATACAAAATAGAGGAAGAGGGGCCGGCCCCGTGGCTTAGCTGTTAAGTGCACACACTCCGCTACTGGTGCCTCGGTTCAGATCCTGGGCGTGCACTGATGCACCGCTTCTCAGGCCATGCTGTGGTGGTATGCCATATACAGCAACTAGCAGGATGTGCAACTATGACATACAACTATCTACTGGGGCCTTGGGAGAAAAAGGGAAAAAAATGGAGGAAGATTGGCAATCGATGTTAGCTCAGGGGCAGTCTTCCTCAGCAAAAAGAGCAGGATTGGCATGGATATTAACTCAGGGCTGATCTTCCTCACACACACACACAAAATAGAGGAAGATTGGCACAGAGGTTAGCTCAGGGACAATGTTCCTCAGTGAAAAATAAAAAGGGGGGTTGAACCAAGTTCTATGTTTATCATCAAAATTTAGTTTGTAAATGTAGAATAAAATAACTAGGAATAATGTTTTTAAACACTGTAGAAATACGAATGGAAAGAATACTTTGGAAATCTAAAGGGATTTAAAGCATAGAAACTCATCCCAGTTAATTCTACATGTAATCTGAAGTGGTCTGCAAACTTTCTAAGGGAAATTGCTCACCTTGGATCACTTTGGAAGTGATGAAATAAGCATTGGTGACTGTGTGAGTCTAGGAGTTTGGTTAAAAGGACAAAGGCCAAAGGTCTGGACTTGTATCATGCTCAGCCTATGAGAGTTCCACTAACTCAGAGGGTGCTTGCCTAAGCCCCAACCAGAGGATTTTACTTGTGATTGGGTTGTTTAGGTAAATACTGATACTGATTGGCGATACTGTCCTCACTGGACCTGCCCAGGCAAACTGTAAAGAGGAGCTGAGAATTCCTCTTGAATTTCGAGTTCTCTGGGAAGCACGTCAGATTTCATTCAGTTGGTTTATTCCTGTGAGAAGCTACCAAAGCCTAATCCACCAGCTCTGAACCTCCGCGTCTCTAAACCACACTGTTCCTGGGATTTCAGTTAACTGAAGGAGGGATTCAAAAAAGTTTCAGAGGACTGGAAGAAGAATGCTCCGGGGCAGATCCTTATCCGTGACATCCCTGGGGGGCCTTCCACAGTGGGAAGTCGAAGAACTTCCAGTGGAGGACTTACTGCTCTTTGAAGTCGCTTGGGAAGTGACCAATAAAGGTTTGTACTGCCCCTGAAGGTGGCTGTTTGCCAGCTTGCTGTAGATTAGGATTTCACAGAAGACTCTCTAGTGAGAATGAATTGCCAGAGTGAGGAAAATATTTAAACCGAGTGTAAGTTTAGGTTACATTTAACCTTGCCTATTTCAACAGGCAATGAAAACTTAGACTTGGGTATGTGTTGAAGGCGGAGAAAGTTGAAAATATTAGTCATTGCCCAGAGAATGTGCATTTAAAATAAAATTTGATATCCATGTTATGACAAAACAGGAATAAAAAGTTAATATTTACTTTTTTGGTTTTATGTTTTTTCTTAAAAAAGCACAATTAAGTACTTTACTTTAGCAAGAACTGTATGTGATCAGGACCAATTAGAAACTTTAACTCCATATACTATTAGTAATTATATGAAATATTTAATAGTGTTTCTCATAGTTCAAGATTAACTTGGAATCAAGTTTTAATTTAGAAGCTGCTCAGAAGGCATAAAATTGAGCTCCTGTTAAGAAAAATGAAAGTAGTTTTTTCTTCAATGCTATATGTACATAGAAATTATAAAATAAGAAAGGAAATCAAATTGACAAAATTAAAATAGTTTTCTAATAAGTTATCATCTCATTTGTGCTGGATTGGAGAAGGCAAGGCAGAAAACGGCAACATAAATGATTTTTATAACAAAGGTATCTGTAAAATTATAAAAAAAGCAGTTCTTTGTGGATTGATATTGTCTAATTTAAAAGTGTCAAGACTATTGACACTAAGATTGAGGGAATATTAGTAAAGAAAAAGTAACAGTTTTGAAAGTTGAGTTCTTGAAGTTCATGAAGAGCCAGGCCGGGTGACGGATGGGTAAGAGGAAGTGGTAACCTGTGGAATTTAAAGGATTTGAACTGATAGCATGTGATGTGACACATTACATGTTTATTTTTTATTATATGTTTATTGCAGTAATTTAAAGGATCTGAAATGATAACATGAATGTGATACATTACTTCTTTCTTTTCACTAATCAGAACCAGTATAACATCAAAATTACACGAATTACATCTGACATCTCTTCTGATTTTCCCCTTATGCTAAATGTTCAAAGTTCTCATGTGTATGCATTCATAAAATTCATAAAGTAATAACTAAACATCAATTCTGCCTATATAGAAATGCACAGCACGCATGTAAGAGAACAAAGCACAGTCTTCCTCCTTGTAGTTTAGTGAGCAGGAAGCAAAGAGGATGGAAACTTTATTATGGAGAAGTAAAGTATTTTACAAATAGCTGTGTCTAATGTTCTTTTTCCAGTCACAGGTTTTTAAATATGCCCAAAGTTCCTGGGCCAGAGCCGTCCCTATCACACATGAATCCCAGACTGCACCTTGAATTAAGAGAAATCTTAATTTCTCAACAGAGTAGGCAGTAATTCAAGGATAGAGCTTGTTGGTGGAAAAAATTGGAGGGACTCTTTAGCACCAGGAATCAGTGCGGAAGAACTCTGCATGAGTTCCAGCACCGAGTAGTCTCTTCCCTTTCCTTCTTTTTTCTCCATTTAGCAAGCCTTAATGGAACATTGTCACCTGGTGCTGGGAATACACTGGTGAAAACTGTTATCCCATGGATCTTATATCTCAGTGACATGCGGGCTGCGCTCAGGGCCTAGAACAGTGCCTGGCATATAGAAAATGCTCAAAGGATTTTTTTCTTTTGAGTGAGGAATGAATACATTTATTTTCAACCTCTAAGCTGCCTTTGATACTTATTTTCTTTCATTTCCCACACAAGAGAAAGGGAATTCCAATTTGTAGAGCGCAACCCACAATGTGATTTACCCAAGTTGACATCATCTCCAACATATCTTTATTTTAATATTTATTACAGTCTGATTTTTAAGAGATTTTCACATAAATGGGCAATTATTGTGTTCATCTCTGGTCATACATGGATACTGGAGTTTCTTTTTAAGATTTGGTTTGAACTTTTACTTCCCTGCAGTTCATAGCAGTGATATGAGGCATCTTAAAGATCACAAATACGGCTTCTCCATTTCGTAGAAGAAGTGGATGCCTACAGGCATCAAATGATCAAGCAAATGGCAGGGAAGGGACTAGCATTTAGGTCTCCTCCAAGTCCACTTCTCTTTTTCACTACCACACAAAAATTAAAAATTAAAACCTCCATCGCCTACAGAAATGTCCTGTAGATGAAAGAACATAGGACTTTCAGTCAAAGACATAGATTTCTGAGACTTTGTAAAAACATCCCTTAAACTATTTGAATATCAGTTTCTTTTTGAATGAAGTGACTGTAATATGCTCCAGCCATCTTACAATGGTTTACGGCAAACAAGGAAATATAATCATGTTCAAGAAAACAAAAGATTTCTTAGAGAGGAATAAAAGCCCTCATTGCCAGAATTTTGCCCATGAACAATGGAAATGTGTAAAATATAACAAATGAGAGAATCATAGTTAAATTATTGGATGTCAATTCTCAGACCTCAAAATAAGCTTTTCCACTTGTTCATATAACCCTTGAAATTTATCGCTTTTATTCATTCATCCATTTATTATTAAATAAAGATTCATCAAGTATCTCTTAGGTGTGAGGCACTGGGAGACGAGAGGCATAGTGTTTAACAGTACAGAATTGATTCCCAATCTTAAAGAATTTACAGACCTGCAGGAAGATAGACACTGAACATGGAATTATAGTCACATGTGATGGGCATAAGAATATGAGACCAAGATGGTCTAAGACTATACAGTGTGTATGGAGGGCAGGGCAGGGGAGATTCTACCTAGTTTGAGGTTTGGGAACAGCCTCTCTAGTAAAGAGACATTTGAGACACCTGAAGGATGGATAGCTGTTGGGTAAAGATAACAGAGGAGGTGATAAAGAGGGGACAGCATTCTGTGTGATGGAACTGTGTATGCCAAGATGCAGAGGTGAGAATGTGTACTCTGTTCAAAGATCTGAGGGAAGCTTAGAGAAGGAAAAGGAGTGGAGTATGAGAGGAGATGGGAGACATCAGCAGGGGCTAGATTGTGAAGTTTATGGTGAGTTAATAGCCTTAAAGAGTTTTATTTCCCATCCATGAAGGATGGGCAGCCATTCAAGTACTAAACTGTGGGAAGTGCTAAGTAGTCAGATGTGTTTTCGAAAAAGCACTATTACTGGTTGGGGGAGAGGATAGCAGGAAAGTTACCAGACAAATTAGAGACTGTGGCATGGTCTAGGGTGGAGCGTTTGCTCAAATGTTGGAAACATAAAGGTTTACTTTCTCCTTTGCTCAGCCCTTAGTACAATCATTTCTTCTACACAGATTTGCCCATATCATTGTAGACTATGGACCAATTATCATGTTGAGGATATTTAGGATCATTCAAAAGAGTTTAACGAATACTGTCACCAATAATGAATGCTAATTCAATACATGTGAACACTTCTGAAATTTAATCGCTAAATGGACACCTCCCTCTTAAAATCAGCTAAAACCCATTTGCTTTAGCCCTAAACTAGCATATTGCTGGACATAATACTTCTTCCTGCTCCCTCCTCAAACCAGGCGCCATAGCTCTGGCTCACATGGTACGAAAAGCACATGGAAGAACTCAGAAAACTACAGTCAAAATGGTGTGGTACAAGCTGATTATAATTGCAAGTCCACCATTCTGAGGGAGGTGTTCCAAAGGTGGGGATTTGGATAAAAATGGACTTTGAGGCGTTTGTAAACCTAAAATTGTATCTGAAAATATTATGTACTCAGACGTGTAAGTGCTTTTTCAGAGAAGAGGACTGAAGGCTTTCATCAGATTTCCAGAGGCCTCGATGATTGACGTGAGAACCAGTGCTCTAAAGTTCCCTAAGCCCTGGGCTACTTTTTGGTAACCTGGAATTGCCTAGACTCAAAATTAAAAAGCTAGTTCTTCAAAGTAGTGTTTTCCAAGTGGCTTTTCTCTAGAGCAGAATAGAAAGAATTTAGATGTTTATCTTTTTTGATACTACTCGTTTTCTTCCTCGGTCCCTCTCACCCACCATTTTTAAAGATCCATCAATACGTTGCTGCACGGAGTTACAATCTTGCTGTCTACAGCCTGTGGGCTCTGGAGTCATACTGTCTGGACTGAAACCGCAACTTCATCATTACCTGTGTGATGTTGGGTCTATCTCATAGCCTCTCTGTGCCTCGGTTTGCCCCATTTAAAAATAAAGATAATAATAGCATCTACTTGTAATGCTGTTGTGAAAACTAAAAGAAATACCAATTGTAAATCACTTAGAACAGTGCCTAGCATTTAATAAACACTCTGTAGGTATTAGCTTGTTCTTATTTCTTCATAAAATTTTTTCATGAAATGAGGAAGTTGGATCATCCATTTTCATACTGACTACCCATTTGAGTAATTCCATGATTCTATTTTTCAATGCAAAAGCAGAGAGGAGAAAAAAAAGATATAGGTCAGGGTTACTACAGTCACGGGTGACACAGTAATTAGGGGTTGAGGTCTTTTTGCTTGGTGTGGATATGCAGTGGCCATGTCAATGACATCCCAAAACACACTGCATGAAACACACAATCTATGTAAAAACCAGGAATGGGATACACATAGCTTCAAGATGATCACTGGTCTGCCCACTTCCTTTTCATCCAGATTGATGTGTCTGAGCCCCTCCTGTATAAAACATAGAGTTGCCATTGTGGTGTACTCAGGGTGGGATGTGTGTGTGGTCTTGCTCTAAGTGTATCTTGTCCTACTGCCCAAAACTGCAGCTGCCTTGATTTGCACCACAGACCCAGCAAAGTGCCAGGCACACAAACATTTGTTGACCATTGTCACCAGAAGCATTTACTCTCTTTCCTACCAGACCTGCTGCCTCAGAGACTGAGGTTCTAGTTGTATAATGACTACCCCTACTTCTGCAACTATGTCTTGAGACAGGAGGGTCAGATTATTAGCTATGCATACTGAAGTCACACGACTTCCAAATTCTGTCACTTTTTTTTTTTTTTGTGAGGAAGATTAGCCCTGAGCTAACATCCATGCTAATCTTCCTCTTTTTGCTGAGGAAGACCCGCTCTGAGCTAACATCTATTGCCAATCCTCCTCCTTTTTTTCCCCAAAGCCGTTGGATAGTTGTATGTCATCGTTGCACATCCTTCTAGTTGCTGTATGTGGGACGCGGCCTCAGCATGGCCGGAGAAGCAGTGCGTCGGTGCGCACCCGGGATCTGAACCCGGGCCGCCAGTAGCGGAGCGCGCGCACTTAACTGCTAAGCCATGGGGCCGGCCCAAATTCTGTAACTTTTAAAGTTTTAAAAAATAGTGAAAATACTCCCAATTTATATGAACTATAAAATGTCTTATTTTGGCTGGTGTCCATATTCCATACTGCTTTGGAATCCTGATTTTTAGCAGTATCAGCAGTGTTTCTAGATGAAAACTTGGGGTTTTAGCTACTTTAATGACATATATGCCATGGGAGCTCATCTTTTCTTTCTTGTGGAAGGCCTGATACTTTGCCCTCACTCTAAAGATAGCTCCCACGTTGTTTCAGAAAAAGACAGATCGATAAAACACAAAGTGCATGTTTGAAAGTGAAGGGTAAGTCCAAATTCAGCGACCTACACTGTGGTGAAACAATAATTCATGAAAAAATATGAGTTGGTGAACCTCTGGTTTATACTCCAAATGTGAAAGTAGGAATGACTCTATTTTTATGCCATTGCACTCAAAAGAGGAGTTTGGGGCAAAATGTAGTAAATAAACAGGAAAAATTGAGGAAAACTAGTTAGCATATAAATATGAGGAGGACAGAGAGAGGCTAAAATGGTGCTTGAGCATATGAAATGCCATAAGAGGACCTGTCCACAGAAAGACCGTACAGGGAGAGGTCTGCAGTGAAAAAGATTTATTTACAATCAGGCCTCAACCAATATGGCATGGACTTTTGTATTATGTCTTTATTTCCCGATAGACTGAAAGAACATAGCCATAGTATTGATGAGCGCTCTAAGGCCATTTGGGGACTATCTATATTATGGCTGGCGGCCTCAAATGAGAAAAGGAAGTAGCAAATTGATGAACTATGTTTATCTTTACATTTCAATTCCCAAATCTAAACATTCATTTTTTTCAAATAAAGAATTTCTCATCTCTCTTATGTCCTTTAGAGAATAAAAATGTGTTTGCATTTACCCAAGTGTATTTGAATTTGGAACACAATCTAACAAACAAGGATGTTCTAAGATCTCTAGGCAACTTTGCAAGATCTTTGCAAGACCATAGTTGCAAATAAAAGAGATTTCAAGAATAGAAATGTGAATAAGGCATTTAATAAATGTGCACTATCAGAACCTGATCATGTATTCCCCTGGATAAGATGAAGGAAATAAGTCTACAGAAGAGGAGAAATTATTTGAAGATTTTGCATTTTTATGGACAATGGCTTGGAATAAAACTTTATATATATATATATATATATATATATATAAATGTATTGCTAAAATGTGACTCTCACACTTTAAACAAAAGTTCTTTTTAGTTGCCCTTGCAAACTATTTCTCTAAATTTGTTTTTCCTCAACAAATAGTTCTGGCGGTTCATGAAATTTTCTGGATTTTGGGAAAATATTGAGGTGTACTTGATGTTGACATCAATCTATGTAGACTCAGATTCCTTGTTGAATGGTTAGCAAATCATGTCTGTTCTGGCCCATTCTGGAAGCCTCTGCCTGCAGGATTTGCAGATCCTCTTCATGTGTTCCACGCTATCCTCCTCACCTATCACCTGAGCTGTGATTGATAGTGTCGTTATTATCAGACTCTGCTCAAGTGACAATTTAAATTTCTTTTAGGTACAGTAAAAAAAGTCTTTTCTTAAAGAGGAAGTTCTTAAGGAAAATAAGTTTATATAGGCTCATATGAAAATTGCTTGCATATAATATTTACATTTGGAGAGTTACATTAGCTCTTCTCTTTTATAAATTAATAAATTCTGTTAGCATCGTAGAGTTGTATCAACATTTGTCTTTTTGGTCTCATCTCTCAAAAGGTAACTTACCAAAAAGCATATTTTGAGTGGCTTAGGCTTAAAGAAAAATTCGCTGATGGCAATTCTACCTTTTGGCCAATTGTGACTATCGATAAGATTTACAAGTTAAAGTCTAAGTTAGCAAAATAAGAAATTTAAGAGTTAGTAGCTATCAAACCCTATATCTTTATGAATTAAAATCCCTCATGAAAAACCATAGTGAAAAATGAGAAGAAGCTTTCTTCTCAATATACAAGTAATACAATTGCTCTTGGAAATGGAATTGAAGATTAGTGCCAGGATCTGTATTGCTCAGGGATTTCATACAGGATTTCCTGAGTCGTCCCCTCGCCTATACCTCATGGACAAGGTATTGCTCAAGAAATTGCTTCAGACTATTTCCGTATTCTCATACAAGTTGATTGCTTAAAGCCAGAATAGGAAATATCGAAATATCCTGCCTAACGTTGCTGAAGGTCTTCTTCCCTTTGACCCTCCCTGTTCGTCCTAACTGGTTACTGCCTCTCAACCTCTCCTTTTCAATGTCTATTACTCTCTACTTGCACGCTTTGCTCCCAACCTAGGGCCTTGGCTCTAACTCTTCCCTCTGCCTCAAAAAGTCTTCCTCATGATATCTGCCAGCTTAATTTCTTCACCCTTCTAAGAACTTACTCAAATATCATCTTTTCAATGAGGCTTAATTTTTAATATTGTTGCTACAAATTGCCCTTTCCCCCAAGCTAAGTACTACTTTATTCCCACTGAACAAGTGAGCTAGTTGAGCCTTAGACAGGTTAACTAGCTGAATTTAAGTTAGTTCTAATTTTTCAACATTATAATACTTCAATAAATATCTTTCTATACATATATACATATATTTTGGTGCTCTTCTCATTTTCCCCAGGACAATTTTCTAGATGTGGACATGCTGGATCCAAGATTATGCATATTTCCAAAAGCATACATGTTTTTTTGGTTTTGTGTTTTCATTGGTGGCAGAAATGTCAGAGGGGAAAAAATGAAATACCATATGAAAATTTGTATTTGTGTTATTGGGTTTGACGTGAGGGTTGAGCCAAGCATTCCCCCTCAGAATCTGTCAGCTCTTTCCTCTTGTCAAGAGGTACCTTGCTTGGTAACTTAGAAGGGAAGTGGCTCTTTATCTTGGGAGACTTGCTCATAATTTCAGCAGCAGCTGTTACTTGAACATCCCTTAGGCCCTTCTAAGACCACTGTAGGAGAAGGGGTGAAAGGTGACTACTGCTGCTGAGGGCATGTGTCTTGACAATGGCTGTTTGTCTCAGCTTTGACACTTCACTATGGGTAGAGCCAAGCCAAGTACTGTTTTATTTGGATCTTCTCTTCAGATTTCCTTGAAATGTTTGTACTTCTCCGTACTTCTGTGCTGCCAACCTGCTGCTTTTCTAACAGACACCTGGCTTTAAAATAAGCATGGAATTGAACCAAATAGAAACTATTTGATAGTGTCTCTTAAAAACGTTCTTTTAGAAAGTTAAATAAATCCTTGTGCTTGACGGATCCTAAATGCTAACTTTAAAATGAGAACTCATTTCCATCACTTAAAATGAATTACTAACTTGAATGATAATGGAACCTTTTCTTTTTAACAGTTGGTGGCATCTATACTGTGATTCAGACGAAGGCCAAAACAACAGCAGACGAATGGGGAGACAATTATTTTCTGATTGGTCCCTATTTTGAGCATAATATGAAGACTCAGGTGGAACAGTGTGAACCTGTAAATGATGCTGTTAGAAGAGCAGTGGACACAATGAATAAACATGGCTGCCAGGTAAAGGAGGCTGACTGATACTTTACTCGGCAAGTCTTAGCAAACTGTTATGGGAAAACAAACTACAATTTACACGAACTCACAAGAGAAGACCATTCATCTACTTAGGGAAAAGGAGCAAGTTTGTGAGCAAGACGAGGAATTTGGTTTTACATAGGTTACATCTGAGGCACCTTGTGAAAACCATAGGGAGACGTCTACCAGGATAATAGGTTTCAAGCACAGCAGAACGTATAGGATAGAGATGTTCTGGGGGCAGCCATTGGTATCTAAATTGTAGTTGACATTATGGGTGTTGATAACATTATTCAGTGGAAGTTTATAGACTAAGAGCAAAAGTTTTGAGCCAAACCTTGGGGAATGTCAGCATGTTAGAACATCTACGTTAAAAGAAGTCAGGGGGCCGGCCCCATGGCTTAGTGGTTAAGTGCGCACACTCCGCTGCTGACGGCCCGGGTTCGGATCCCGGGTGCGCACTGACACACCACTTCTCCAGCCATGCTGAGGCCGTGTCCCACATACAGCAACTAGAAGGATGTGCAACTATGACATACAACTATCTAGTGGGGTTTTGGGGAGAAAAAAAAGGAGGAGGATTGGCAATAGATGTTAGCTCAGAGCCAGTCTTCCTCAGCAAAAAGAGGAGGATTAGCATGGATGTTAGCTGAGGGCTGATCTTCCTCACAAAAAAAAAAAAAAAGTCATCAGGGACTGCAAAAGTAGAAACAGAGCTAGTGATGTAGAACCAAGCATGCCCAAATCTTAATCCTCAGAACCTGTGAATGTGTTACCTGTATAGCAAGAGGAATTTGTAGATGTGATTATGTTAAGGATTTTGAGATAGGGAGATTATCCCAGATTATCTGGTTGGGCCCAGTGTAATCACTAGAGTCCTTAGAAGAAGAAGGCAGCAGAATTAGAATCAGAGAGGAGATATGACAATGGAAGCCGAGGTTGGAGTGACAAGCTTTGAAGATGGAGGAAGAGGCCATGAGCCAAGGAATGCAGGTGGCCTCTAGAAGCTGAAAAAGGCCAGAAAACAGATTCTCCGCTAGATACTACAGATGCAATGCAACTCTGCCAGCGTGTTTTGATTTTAACCCATGATTTTAACCCATAAGACCCATTTTGGACTACTGACATCCAAACATGTAAGATAATAAATTTGTGTTGTTTTAAGCCACTAGGTTTGTGGTAATTTGTCGCCATCACAGGAGGAATAGTGAGGTGAAGACAAGGGAAGAGAGAGTTTCAAGTATGAAGGAGGGATTAAGTCAACAAAGGATTGAACCAGGGTCGATTGGGTTTAGCAATATTTAGGTCACTCACAGTAACCTTCCTAAATATAGTTTCAGAGGAGAAGGGGAGGTTAAATCAGATTGCAGTGGGTTGAGGAATGAATGAGTGGTGAGAAAAAGGATATAGAAATTGTGGCTATGAGATTTTTCTATGAAAAGGAAAGATAATTAAGTAGTTTCAGGATGACATGGTTTTGAGAATTGATGTGTTATTAAATGTGAGTGAGACTTGAGCATATTTATATACCAAAAGGAAATATCTAGCAGACAGGGAGAAGTTGAAAGTTCAGAAGAAATGGATGTTTGAAGAAAGTGGGGTCACTGAGGATGGGGGCAGAAATAAGATCCAAAGCACTATTGAAAGGTTCGTTCTTCACCCCTTTCACTCAAACAGGAAATAAAGGATTAATGCAAATAGAGATAAATTGATGAAGAATTCAGGATGGTCTCACTCACTGTTGGTAATTTTACTAAAGTAGGAGTTAAAGGTCATCTTATGAAACTTAGGAGGCAAGCATTAAAATAAGAGAATTTGAAGAAATAAGTTCTGAAAGAGTGTTCAAGGAATAGGCAAAAGAATTTCTGGATGTCTTTGAGGTATAGTTATGACTTTTTAGTGGCACTAATATATACGACTGTGACTTTCTCCAGCAGCAGTTAGCAGCCTGAGTGAAACCACAGGAAGTTGAATAGATGGAGATTCAGTGTTAATTTCAGCTTTTGATCAATGCGGCAATTTGGCACAAGTCTTGGAGGTAATTGTGCGATTGACTGAATTAAGGATTGAACTGATGGACCATTGTGTCTGAAACGATAGAAAGGAAAGCAAAGCTGGAAAGGAAATGATAATATAGGAGAAAGTGGAGGGTTCCATGAACTGAAAGTCATAAAGAGGGAAAAGAAAGGATATATATACTGGGAGAGAGTGAGAGAAATGGAAATATAGAAGTTATGGTCAAGAATAGAATGCTAAAGTTGAGTATTTCAGAGGAGGAACAGTCTGGGTTTTGACAAGGATAAGAAGGCAGCCATGAGCTTGGGTGGCTGAAACATAGTGGATGTGAAGTTATTTGAAGTCAGTAAGGTCAAGTAACTATAAGGTAAGTGTTTAGGATAAAAAACCTAGATTTTTAAGATGCCAAGAATAAGGTAGAAAAGTAAACAGGTGATTACTAGACAAGAAAGGTAATTTATTTGGATAGCATAAATTTCAAAGAGGTCTTTATACACAAATAAAGAACAAGGCTTTTAAATTTTCAGTGTAATTTTTTTTAACAAAGAACTTTCCTTCATACTGTTTCTGGGGGTGAAAAAATGAGATGACCTCACTGAGATGTCCATGTGAGTAGTGGTGTCTAGGATGTATATGCAAGGTTTAAGGTGCAGAATATTCAATTTAAAAGGGAACTTCAGGTCCTACAGGGCACCAGGGAAATATATCATAGTGAAGGTAGCATTGAGAATGTAGGAGAGTGAAAGAAGGTTGCATATTGTACTATTGGGATGAAATAAGTGAGATGTTAGAAGGGGCTTGCAGTTGAAGCTCTTGTGAAAGAAGAGAAAGATGAAAAGCATGATAAAACTGACTAGTCTCACGATTCTAACTGGATTTCCTATGTAAGTATGTTTCCACGTTGCAGCCAAGAACGCACTGGAAGTGAAGACAAGCTAGCTTACATTCTCTGTAGTTTCAACAGTGCTCTATGATCTTAGCTCACTGTTATCATATGTCACATATTAGGCAGTCAATAACTATTCATTGAAGGAAAACCTAAATCAATGAATGTCCCAAAGAGAAAACTATTGAGTTGTTTGGGGCTCTGGAAAATTCAATCTGAAAATGACTGCCATGATAAATACTAAATTACAATGGAAGCAACTGACACATAATGAGGGTCTTTCAAAGTTGGCCAAGGCATGGATGAGAGAGAGACATCACCATACAGTCCTGAATCCCATGGAAGGGAATGATGATAAAACGGGCTTCCGAGCTCTGCAAAATTCAACCTTGGGTGGAGTCATAAGGGTCAATATGTGAGCAATGTGGACACATTCAGTTTTCTAGAGAGGCCTGGATACCCAATGAGAGAGGCTCTTAGCCTCTGCCAACTTCCAAAAAAGATTTGAAGTGATTTATGGAGTGGCATACCATGTAATAGGAGAATAAACATGAAATAAAAATCAGGACAAAAGAATGAGTCAATTACTATAGAAAAATAGAGACCAAAAGGGAAGTTAAAACTTGGATATACAAATGACTATATAATTACAATTGGAAAAATTTGAGATAGTAAATGCATTAAAACTTGCACAAGATAAAACATTTGGAAAAAAAGGAAGTCAATTTGAAGAATGTAATAGCATTAGACTTTGAGCTGCTCGATTAAAGAGATAATGTATCTTGGGCAATATATTTAGTTAAGACCTCTGACAGCAACCATATTGGGAAACACTTTGTGTCACACTATTTTTTTTTTTTTTTTGCTGGGGGGATAAGAGAAATCACACACATTTGTCTACAGAAACAACTTTTTTCTAGCAGGAAATATTGTAAGTCCTGTTGCATGAAGGAAAATAAGTGACACAGTGGACATTATATCCAATTACAAGTTTTTAAAGATACAGAGCAGTTCATCTTATGACTCCATCATAAAAACATAAACTGTAATACTAAATCTTAAAACCATGAGCTCAAGGTCACAGGAGGATAATGACGGACAGAGATCACGTGATCTAGATACCTCATTTTTAAATGACCAAATTTAATGAAGAGCAAGAACTTGGAGATACTAGATGAACAGATTCAAGACCATTCCATCTTCAGACTCAAACATCAGATGCTTTGTGTTATCACTATGGTTTCCTATATAGCTTGCATAATCTGCTGTTGAGTTCCAAATAAAACTTATATCCTCTAAGCACAAATACATTTTCTTCCCTTGCGTTACCTAGTATTACTACACGGCCGTGTCTTCTTTATATGGCAGGTGCACTTTGGAAGATGGCTGATAGAGGGGAGTCCTTATGTGGTGCTCTTTGACATAGGCTCTTCGGCTTGGAATCTGGACAGGTGGAAAGGTGACCTTTGGGAGGCATGCAGTGTCGGCATCCCTTATCACGACCGAGAAGCCAATGATATGTTGATATTTGGATCTTTAACTGCCTGGTTCTTAAAAGAGGTACAGTTTACTCTATGGTCATACAATAGAGGGGCAGCACAATTGTGTTTTGTGCCGGCAACAATCCCATGATCTTTAGACTAAGTAAATTTTGAGATGATGCCGTTATTGATTGTCCTAATACATTTCAAAGGAATCTGAGAAAATGTTCGGCATTCCTCAAACTAAATACCAGCCTTTGGGACAGGGTAATAATAATACTTATCAATATTTAGCTCATGTCAGGTTTAAATAGAATGATGATCATGATCACGATGAATGATCATCTGTGTAGCAGGCAATATAATTGGGTGTTTTATATAAAACTCAATTGGGTGTTTACATATATATTCAATATATATGTAAGGAAAAAATAGATAGTATACATCATGCACTATGTACGTGAATTCTAGAATCATGGGAGTAGAAAATAGTTTGAAATATTTGGTGGTGTTTATGCACGAGTACTTGTGCAAATGCAGTAGATTTTCAATATTTTCATCATTTTCTAAGGGCTGAAGTGATCCTGGCACTTGCTAAGGAGTCATAGCAGTGAAATATCCCACAGATGTAAAAAACTAAGAGTATTAAAAACCAGTCCTTATTAAATGAGCCAAGTCTGCACTCTCTTAAGTCCTCAAACATGGCAGTGGGACTTTGCATTCCTTGCATTATCTCAAGATGATGATACCTAACCTAAAAATCAGAGGGAGAAGGAAGAGTATCCTAGCAAAGAGGGAGTATGGTCTAAGGACAAATCACAGAACTGCATGCTGCGAGTGTGTTCCCCTTGGCGCCTTTCTTACTGATGAAGTCATATTCCAATTGCCATAACAAAAGGCTGCCTTGATGTGAAGGGGAAGGTGGAGGGGCGGTCCTATCGCTTTGTGTTGGTGACAGAATAGGACAAGAAGGGTTAGGGTGCTGGCAGATCTGGCCTGATGACAGATACGCAGTCTTGTTTTAGCATCAGTTAGTGGAACCAACTCTTCCTCTGCAACTGCCTCCCTGAGCCACTGCCTCCAGGGCTGAGGCCAGCCTCCAAGGGTGTGTGTGTGTGTGTGTGTGTGTGTGTGTGTGTGTGTCTGCTGTCGTCCTTTCTGTTAAAGGGAAACAGAGGGGGGAGAAGCAAGAAAGTGGGAGCTCCAATTTTCTCTAAAATAAAGCACTTCCAGAAATAGAGATTTTCTTTGTTAGAAATAAATGAAAACATTGAAAAAAATCCAAGGCTGCTGGGTAAGCCCTGTTTCTGCTGTCACCTCTGCTGCCACTGATCTGTGCAGCTGTTAATAGCTGCAAGGAACTTTTTGAAGAGCAGGTACTTTAAAGTACAAAGGTCTTAGCCTAAGTCAGTGAGTGGTTCTCAAAGAGTATTTTCGTGGACCACCACTTGCAAACTTGTAAGAAATGCAAATTCTTGGGGGCCGGCCCTGTGGCGTAGTGGTTAAGTTCGCGGGCTCTGCTTCGGTAGCCTGGGGTTCACAGGTTCGGATCCCAGGCGGGGACTTACACACCACTTATCAAGCCATGCTGTGGCGGCAGCCCGTATAAAGTAGAGGAAGATGGGCATGGATGTTAGCCCGAGGCCAATCTTCCTCAACGAAAGGAGGAGGATTGGCAACAGACATTAGCTCAGGGCTAATCTTCCTCACATGAAAAAAAAAAGAAATGCACATTCTTGTGCAACAGCCCAGAACTGTTGGATTACCGGGGAATGGGAACCAGACGTCAGTGTTTAACAAGCCTTCCAGGTAATTCTGATGTATGCTAAGTATGAGAATGGCTGTCTTAGGTTAACTCTCCAGACTTCCCATTCTCCACACTTCTTGAACTCAGATATTTTGCATTATCAGTGCTACCCACTCCCCCCCCTTAAGGAAATAGACAGTCATAAGGGGAGTGAAATACAAATATTAATTTTTTATAACAGTGCAACTAGGTAACTTTAAGGCAAAGAGACTGATGCCCTGTCTGGTTTTAGAATCAGACCTGGAATTAGACCTGAGTCCTCAGTGTGTTACTAACGATTTGACTCTAAGCAAGTTATTAGCCTCTTTCTCCCCAATTCCATTTTCTTAAAAAATGATATATCAATTTAAGTTCTTTTGGCCTCAAGGAACAGAAAAATCAAAATAAGACTGACTTAAAAAATGAAGTCATTTATTGTTTCTAATATTTATGAAATTTATAATATTTATAATATTGAAACATGAAGTCATTTATTGTTTATAAAGAAGCTTGTAAGTGGGTAGTCCCAATTGATTCAGCTGCTCAGTGATATCTTCAAGGATATTATTATTGCTATTATTCATTTATCCATTCAATGAATATTTATGAGTACCTACTGTACATTTATTCTATGAGGCCCCTCTGTGGAAACATGATCCATCACTGAAAGGAGAATTATGCCACAAAAATATATAGGCTTTATGAACATGCCACTAAATTCTATAAAACACTTCCTAAATCTGCATGCTTCATATTCAGATCTCTTTAAGTTGTGCTAAAATTTACAGGTATGATAAAGTTCCTGGTGCTGTGAGCCATGAGCAAGATCAAGCTTCGCCAACAACTTTTCTAAATGCTTCTTTTCTGCTGTAGGTGACAGATCACACAGATGGGAAACATGTCATTGCCCAATTCCACGAATGGCAGGCCGGAATTGGACTGATCCTTTCTCGAGCTCGGAAACTTCCTATCGCTACAATATTTACCACCCACGCCACACTGCTTGGGAGGTACCTCTGTGCAGCAAACATTGATTTCTACAACCATCTGGATAAGGTAAATAGGCCTACCACCTTCCGCTCACCATCTTTCTTTCAGATCCTTGAAGCTGAAGGATGAGAAGTATTGATCTTTACATTTCATCTGCCAGCCAGATGGCAGAAATGCCCTTTTAACTAGTCAATATTCATGACAAAGCCTCCCCTGGGTGACAGAGAGCTCATTCAGTTTAACTTTGTTCAGAGTGCAGTAGAGTGTAGCAGTGAGAGGCCAGATATCTGTCCACTTTGGAACAATATATCCAAGATCCAAAGGGGCATGATGGGAGTAAGACACTGTGAACACAAGGTTAGGCTCCTGTCTATCCCGAAGCTTGGGAAATGCTGTGAGGACACTGGATCCACACACAGCTCTGAGTGGCAGGTAGAGAACAGGGATTCCAGGCATACAACTTGCACTATGAGCCTTACTTCATCTATCCTCCAAATGATCAGATTTCTCCTGTAACTCTGCAGTGTGTAGATGGAGTTTTTATGGGGGTCAAGTAAGGCAGAAGTTATTAAAAACAGAGATGTGGGTCCTTGGTGACCAAACAGTTGCGTTTGCTCATCTTAGAAGAATGCCTGATTCCATGACCCAGTCAGTCAATTTTGATTTCTTTCTTCTGTTTTCCATCAGTTAAATCAGATTAATTAAGGTATGTCTTTTAGTCATCATGTCAATAATATTAACAAAGCATTTGAGTACCATAAAGTCAGGAGTTTTGCAGATTTGTTATCTATATTGCCAATCAAATCAATTTAGCATTTTAGGATTCTGTTTCACTATCAGGAAAATTCGAAAGTTGGAAAGTTGATTTCTAAAGACTTCCCCAGTCGAAAAAAGTGCTAAGATTCTATGAAACAGAATGTGTGTGTGTAATAGATGAATAATACTCAGATAATGGTAGTGGAAAGTTATGCTACTATCTCAAAGACACTTTGAGTGCAGAAAAGTTTTTTCTGACAAAAACATTTGCAAAGCCATGAATGGTCCTAATGAGAGTTTTCCTATAAAAAGTTCAGCCTAATCTAAAGGTCATGTTGTACAGAAAAGATGTATATTTAAAATAAAGTCACCAAAGAATTTAGAGAGTCAGAAGATCAGGGAAATTTCCTAATGGTATATGATAATGGTAGACTAATAAGGGCAAACCAGTGATCTGTGATACGCTCAATGACTGTGTTTCCTGGAGAAGAGCAGACTTTGATTTTTGTGAAAGAGAAAATATTAAATAGTCTTATCAAATATTTCACTTCAGAATACTTAAGAGCATTATATAGTAACAATTAATAAAAACAGCTAATAATATACATCAGACATTATTAGTTGTTTTTAAGGAACAAATGCAGTGTAGCATATAGTTATATATTACAACCTTATCCTTTTGATGAAAGGTCAGTATTTATATCACCGTCTTCAAATAGGATTATATATTTCCCTAGCTTAAAGCCCCTCACTGGTTGAAGTATGTAAACTTAGACCTCAGCCCACTGTTCTAGTAAAATGTCCTGCCAGCAGAGTGACTAGTAAATAATAAGAACTAGATTTTAAGTTAAATTTATAATCATTTCGCATAGAAAAAGCTCCCATAATCACTTTTCACGGCAGACTGCTCACACTAGATTTAGAATTTGGGTGATACATTAAAAATACCAAATTATATACATGAAAAGTTTTTAAAAGTTCAACCTGAGAAATGAGTCATACTTTAGTCTTTTGATGCAGGACCCAAAATCTGTTTCAGTAAATTCTGATTCAGACAGATAAACATGGGGGAAATGAGAACAAGAATAAAAGTATTCAACTTTTGTAAAAGCAGAAAGATGAGAACTATTTTACTCAAATATTACTAACTGAAAACATTTTTTGTTAATAGCCGACTCATGAGGACCTTGAAGTTGGTTTAAGTTTTTAGTTAAATTTATTAGCTAAAATAAGATTTTAACCATTTTTAGCCAGCATATGCATTTTCTGAGACTCTCCAAGATGTTTCCAAATTCCTTCTTATCAGTCCAGCCCTTGGTCAATTTTCCCCTCCACTGTAATAGGCAGATGACTAATGCTTTTTTTTTTAAGTTTTCTTATGTTTTGGCATCTCTTTTCTTGATAGCAACAGAATTTCCTTGATGGAAATGTGAGGACAATGCTGTTGGGATTAGAAAATGGTGAGGGAAGCCATAGACAATTATTTGATGGATTTTAACTGTTTCCTCTGATCAAGTTTTGAGATAGTCAACTTCAGTGATAGGGTTATCCTCCTCTGTTGCTGGACTGTTGTTTGTTTTTGTTTTTTTTTTTTGTGAGGAAGATCAGCCCTGAGCTAACATCCATGCCAATCCTCCTCTTTTTACTGAGGAAGACTGGCCCTGAGCTAACATCTGTGCCGATCTTCCTCCACTTTATGTGGGATGCCGCCTCAGCATGGCCTGACAAGCGGTGCGTCGGTGCGCACTGGGATCCTAACCCGGGCCACCAGCATCAGAGCGAGCGCACTTAACTGCTACGCCACGGGGCCAGCCCCCTGGACTGTGTTTTATTGGTTAATATATCCTTTACCTCATTCTCTGTTCTTTTATACACATTACCTAGAATTCAACAAAAAGTTATGAGATATATGAAAACACGGGGAAATAAGACACATTGTCCAAAGAACCAGGTCCAGATATGTCCTAGATGTTGGAATCTCAAACTATCGTAAATATGGGGAAAAGTGGACAACATGTGTAAACAGATAGGGTTGCTGTACAGCCACAAGTGTGGCCATGCATATCACAGGCCTAAGAGATAAGGGACCCCCATGGGGCCAGAAAAAGGCAGAAGCACGCACATGTGCCTGTCTTCATGAAGACCTCTCATGGGGTCACCAGGCCTCTGCTGATCTTCCCCTGTATCTTTGCATACTTGGTTTACTCACTTAGAAACTTTACTTACTCAGAAAACCTATCTTCCCATCCCTAATTGTCTAAATGTTAAGTTCAATGACTTCTGGGATCTGGCCCTATTATATCCCACCAGGATGTTGCCCTATTATGTCTCATACATTCTACATCTGATGCTACAGTCACGTCCAACGTCCTGCTATTTTCTGCACATAAAATGTATATACTTGTGACTGTATGACTGTATATACTTGTTCTTTAGGGCAGCTAATTTTTTAGTCCAAAATAACCTTTCCCCAAATTAAACTTTCATGCCTGAATCCAAATAACATTTTAGTCATTCAATCAACTTGAAGATATAAAGATGGAATAAGTCATGGTCCTTGCCTTTGGAAATCTTACATTCTAGAGGTGATACTGACAACATGAACACTTATATAGCAGTATGAGATACTTTTTCCTATCCTCCCCTCTGATCCTTTGCCTTCCTCAGGCACTTACTCATTTATGCCTTATTTTTACCTGTTTTCTCACTAATTTATAAGCTCTTTAAAGGTAACAGAAGCACATAAATTACTCAAAAAATGTTGGTTGAATGAGAGGTTTGGTCGAATAAATGAGACAGCCATATAAAGCTTTTACAAAAGCTTCTGCTGATCCAAGAATGCTACATAGAGCCCTAATTCAAACATTTTCAGAGAGGTGGTTGCAAATATTATAGTCACGGAAGAATGATCTAGGAATTTCCTTGTTCTAATCTTTAGAATCATCTAATGAGTCTTTTTGAGTATTTTCCTCTACATGGTACAGTAATTATTGGGACTGACTCATTGATCGAGTTGGAATCTAATTGATATCAAAGCAGGTGAGAGCACAAGCTTGGAGTCAGACTGATTTGGGATCAATTTAGGGCTCTGCTAAGAAAGTTAATAGGAATGTGACCTTGGGCAAGTTTCTTAACCTCCAGAAGTTTCAATTTCCCCCTCTAGAAAATGAAGATACAATACATGTCACAGTGGTTTATGAGGATTAAATATGACATCGTGCTTAGAAGAGTACCCGACGCGTAGTATTGAAGAGCTTCTTCTAATAATCTTTATTATGAAAAGCGCCCTGCTAACATAATGCCGGAAACTTGATATGCTTTTTTCTCTTAGGCAGTGCTAGTTTCATATGCAGCTATATAAGACATATATTCAGTAACTAAGCAAAATGCAAAAGCCCACAACTGTTGCCAACTATTTAAGTAATTGTTGGAGGTTTGGCTTTTTTTGTTTTTGTTTTACATTAAGATACCCAGAATAACAGATGACTACACAATCTAACCCACTATCTAATTAAAGGAACTGTACACTCCTTGAAATTATAGAGTGGTAGGAGTTATATATCCATGGAAAAGCATTTGTCTTTTCTCTTCATCAGGTTCCCTTTCAGTGAATTAAGGATGATAATAACTACTCTTCCTTTCAGTATCAAGTTTAATGTCATCTTTGTTTCATTGTTTATGGAAAAAAATATGATAAGGACCTTGGTGAAAGGAATTAGTTCAATATTTATAAAATGCGGGATAAATAAAAGTATAACCAAAATACGAAAAAATCAAGAATTCTATGTAATTATAGCAAAGTGGAAATATTTACTTAGGGGGTTAAATAGCAGTTTAGAAGCAGAAATGAAGGAAACAACAGTTTTTAAAGCATAAGTAGCTATGCATTTTAGTAGTGAGTTTAATAAAAATTTATCTTTTGTGTGTGTGTGGTCATAAAATTTCACATAGCCTTGAGGAAAAACAATATGTGAAATATGTGATTTTCGGGCCAGCCCCGTGGCTTAGCAGTTAAGTGCGCGCACTCCGCTACTGGCGGCCCAGGTTCGGATCCCGGGCGCGCACCAACTCACCGCTTCTCCGGCCATGCTGAGGCCGTGTCCCACATACAGCAACTAGAAGGATGTGCAACTATGACATACAACTATCTACTGGGGCTTTGGGCAAAAAAAAGGAGGAGGATTGGCAATAGATGTTAGCTCAGAGCCGGTCTTCCTCAGCAAAAAAAAGAGGAGGATTAGCACGGATGTTAGCTCAGGGCTGATCTTCCTTACAAAAAAAAAAAAAAAGAGAGAGAGAACATTAAAAAAAAAAAATGTGATTTTCTTTTGCTTGTGTAGAAGGACTAGTGTAAGCAAATGTACATGTTTGCGTGTTTTGTTTTGTTTTAACAGTTTAACATAGACAAAGAGGCCGGGGAAAGGCAGATTTATCATCGGTATTGCATGGAGCGAGCCTCAGTCCATTGTGCTCACGTGTTCACCACAGTTTCTGAGATAACAGCAATAGAGGCAGAACATATGCTGAAGAGAAAGCCTGGTAATTATTACCCCTGAATTTGTCACCGATGTTTCAGTTCCAAATGACATCATAGCATGAGAATTTTAAAACAAAAATGCATAAAATAATAGAGGAAAAATCGCATTCACTATTACCGCCCAAATCTTTTTACATATTTTAATTCAGCTTTGCAGTGAAATCAACACTAAGCTATATCTGGAACATAGTAGTGTTCAGTCTGTGCTTGTTGAATAAATGGGCTATGCCTGAAACGCTCTAGGTCTGAACTGGGTTGTCATAATGACTCGGTGGGTATAAGCAAGGTGAGTTGACTTTACTATTTTAAAATGCAAGTCAAGAAAATATCAGAAACTTGTGTGAGACCAACCCAGTCCTACATCTTGTAACATTGCCTCATTGGTCCTGTTTAGTAGAAACTTGCTGTTTTACTTCTCCCCAGACCTTCTTGCCAGTTTTTCTGGGAACAGTCTGCAGACCCATCCAGAGGTTGCAATGCCAAGAGGCATGTTCTTAAAATGTGACCCTCTCACCTGGCCACAGCTGACTGGTCCAAAGGTAGACACTTGACATAAGCTGGGCCAATCAGAATGCTTCCATAGGAAGAAGTCGAAACGGATGAGTCTGTTTGAATGCACTCTTGTATAATAGAAATGTCAGCTTTGAAGCTGTTGGCAGTGTCCATTTTTCTATTATGTTGCATGAGATGCAAAGAAGGTTAAACTACACTGAAGTACAATAAGAAGCACAAACAGACTGAGAGAGGACTTTTTCGACTCTCCACGGTGGTTTAGACCGTAGTTTAAACTAATTCGCGAGGCCCAGCTAAATCTTTGCCATGAGATACTCCAGCATCCTATGAATAAATTCCTTGTTATTATGCTTAAACCAGTGTTAGTGGGTTTCTGTTATTTACAACCAAACCATCCTAATTAATATATCCTCCTTGCTTAATTCCTGTGGTCTTGTCTCCAGTTGTCTTTCTTTCAGATACTAGTTGAATGTCTAGAGGAAGTGTTTCAAGGTGCTAGATAATTAAAAAAAAAAAAAAGAATCCAAGTAATTTGAATAGCGGCAGCCTGAAGATCCCATGCTTTTCTTTTTTCTTTCCAAGGATTCTCTTGGATTCATTTGGAGTCTCACTCTCATGCCTCTGACAGGAGTTTACTCCATCAGTATGCTCATTTCTTTCTTGGATCTTCTTTTTTTCCCTGTTTACAGTATCATTTTCTGTGCTTACAAAAGTGCTTTGTTTTTTCCTATTCTAAAATAAAAATTTCCCTTGAGGCCGCTACCTGTCAAATGTCCACACAGTCTCACCCTTCCTCCTGCTGCCAAATATCTTAGAAGAGTAACCCATAGTTGCTTCTTCCATTTGCTCATAGCACCTTCGCTCTGGCTTCCAACCTCCAACACTTGGCTGAAATTGGTTTTCCAAATATGATCAAATTCAGCGTTCCCTAATTTTTTTATGTTCTTTGACATTGTTTAGCATTTAAGTGTGGTAGATACCTCCATCTTTCCTTACTTTTCATGACACTGTACATTCTAAGTTTTCTCCAAAATGAATCTTTTCTAGTGTTTCTAATAGTTTTTCTGCTTTCTTCTGTCTTTTAAAAGCAGACATTCTCCAAGATCATATTCTGGATCCTACTTTCTCTACATACTACTTTCTTAAATTCTTGTTTTCTTAGGGAGCTGCATGCAGGATAGTGGTGAAAATTGTGGGCTTTGTGCCAAACTGCCAAAAATGATTTTGTGTTGAATATATGTTACTAGCTGTGTGACATTGTGAAAGTTACTTAAGCTCTCTGTGCCTTATCTGCATAATGATGATGATAATACTATCTCTCATCTAGAATTGTTGCAATGATTAAAAGAGTTAATTCATGGGAAAAATTCAGATCAGTGCCTGTCCATTGTAAAGATTCAGAGAATGTTAATGATTATTATTTTGTATGGATCACTGTCTAGGTTTTCTCAAGCATTCATCTCTATTTCTGAGTACCCACAAGCTAACTTTACCTGGAAGTTCTACTAGAACACTACCCTCTACTCCACTTCTGATTAGTGATAGAATCAAGTGGTGGCTCTGATTGAAGTTGTGAAATTCTCTGATGTTTTGTGGCTCAAGAAGGTCAATAGACTTTCAGTAGATCACTAAACACAAAAGTTTTCCCAAGAGCATTCTAAAAAAAAAGGCTCAATAAAGCATAACCATGATTTTGTATTTTCTAGTTATTCTTGAAGTCTTCCCCAATCAAAAGTGTAACCACAGCGACAATGCTGAGGACAGAGCTCCAGAGCAAGAGGCAAATGTTGGCTAGGTCAAAAGTTTGCATGGGATCAGATATTTTTAAGAATATTACTATATATACTAATTGGCAAAGGACTATTTATTACTGTATTATTTTGCTTTGACCATGAATTCAACTCAAATTTATTTCTGATGTTAAAAAAGATGATATTTTGTTTAAAATATTGGAGAGAGGGCAACATTATAAAATTATTAATTACAAATATGCAACTTAATACATCTACTTTGAAACTTAGCCAGCTTGGTGGTCTAGTGGTTAAGATTCAGTGCTCTCACCACCATGGCCCAGGTTTATTTTCTGGTCTGGGAACCACACTACCCATCTGTTGGTTGTCGTATTGTGGTGGCTGTGTGTTGCTGTGATGCTGAAAGCTATGCCACCTGTATTTCAGATACCACCAGGGTCACCCATGGTGGACAAGTTTCAGTGGAGCTTCCAGACTAGGAAGACTAGGAAGAAGGACCTGGTCACCCACTTCCAAAAAAATTGGCCATGAACACCTTATGAATAGCCATGGAGCATTGTTTGATATAGTGCCAGGAGGCGAGAGGATGGCGCGAAAAGAGTGGGCAGCATTCAGCCCTGCTGTACACGGGGTTGCTAAGAGTCGGAATTGACTCCAAGCACTAACAACAAAGAAAATAATGTACATCAAAATGAATGCCCTTATGAATTATATACTGAGAATTTTTATTCTATGTTGAAGCAAAATACTCCCAAACAAAATATTCCCTCTGAAGAATGCCAATCCCCCAGCAGCTTATGATTCACACATTTACTATAAAATCACCCATTGTCTTCCTTTCACTTTGGTCTTTTGGATTTGTGAAAAATTGAAGGCACAATTCTGTTCGGAACCATCTGATTTTGTTCAGAGATGTAAACTTTACAAAGAGAATCAAAGTCCTTGTAAGAGTATTTTGATTTGGTTGCAGAACTGTACCATCTGTCCAAACTTCACAATTTGGATATTTCTTAGAAAATATGGGGTTTGTGATGTCATCTTAGAAAAGTGTCATATACATGACACTAAATTTGATATTATAATGTCAACAAAACAAAATAAAATGGTCTAGCCAGTGAGTGGTTTCATGGGGTTTTGCCAGAAAGGTCACCGGAGTCCAGTGCTCCTGTAGATTTTTTCAGACACACTAAGCACTGCTCTATACCCCATTCCAGTGGTTGCAGAGAGAGTATTTTGCAAGAATATTCATCTTGAACTGGTATGACTCTCAGTCTATTAAATGAAATTTAGGAAATTTCTAACAGTCCACTTTACATGATGTGAGATGATGTAAATTATTCACATGACAATGAATCCCTGGAGTGTCTCCTGCATTCAGAATATTCAGTAAAATTGTTCAAAATTCTGTAGAATATTTTGACAGTGCATCTATATATCACCATATGCATAAGACAGGTATGGTGTGTTCAGTTATGATACAGTAAGCTTCATTTTTTCAGCTAGTCCTTGGCCCAGGTTGTTAGAATCATATTCCTTCTTCATGATTATAGTGAGTAATCACATAAGCGATGTCACTGGAAGCTATATTCTGATTATATATTCTGGATTGCTCCTTAACAAAGTTGCTTCCACTTATTACAGCAAAGAATGATACAAGAGCCTCTTGGTGAGAAGTCCCAGTGGACTTCAAACCAGGAGAATAAACTTAGGACAAGAAACCATCCACAGATTTCCCAGGGTGATCTCTGAGAAACTAGAAAGGTACAAAGAAGGAACAGAGTCATTGCTTTTGGATTTAGTCATTGCACCAATATACTTCCAGCTTAGACCCAGAACATGAACTTTACCTGGGGAAAAAAATTGAAAGAAAAATGTGAGCAAATAGTCCTCAAAGCAGCTACCTGTCTCTAGTGAGATGTACGTATCGTGCCAGTACCAAAACCTGATGATAAAACAGGGCTCTGTGATGACAACATATGCATTGTAAATAAGACACCGAAGCAGCATTCAATTCCTTTTTCGTAGAAAGATCTTAGTTTTCTTTTATGCTATCAACAACTGGTAGCCAATAATGCTATTTTACATGCCCGAGCAACCATATCTCATCCTTAGTTCAGAATTTTTGAGCAATTAGACTTTTCCAACTATATGGAGATTCTATTTTCTAGAATTTCAAGTATGGAGCAACATTTCAATAATATAATATGGAAATTATTCATTCATCCAACTATTAATTTTTTTTTTTGAGGAAGATTAGCCCTGTGTTAACATCTGTTGCCAATCTTCCTTTTTTTCTTTTTTCTCCCCAAAGCCCCAGTAGATAGCTGTATGTCATAGCTGTACATCCTAGTTGCTCTATGTGGAACGCCACCTCAGCATGGCTCGATGAGCGGTGCATAGGTCCACGCCCAGGATCTGAAGCGGGAACCCCTGGCCACCGAAGTGGAACCTGGAAACATTAACAGCTACACCACTGGGCTGGCCCCTATCCAACTATTAATTTTTAAATACTGCTTCAAGCAATGGGAAAGAGTAAGTGGATAAAACCATGTGGCTACTTTCACAGAGCTTACCTTCTGAATAGAGGAGGCAGGCAACTAACCAAATACTGAAATAAACATGTAATATGTCATGGGTAACTAGTGCTATGGAGAAGAGTAAAGCAGGAAAGGGAATAGGGAGGGTAGAGGTACAGGTGATCGGCAGTTATGTTTTTGTTTTTTTCTTTATGTAGGGTTCAGAGAAGTCCCCCTTGATTAGGTGAAATTTAGGGGAAACATGAGACTTAAGGCTTCATCTATACAGGGGATACCTACATATCTGGTATCCAAGAGAGAAGAAAAAGAAACATGAATTAAGAAGTTACTGTCTTAGACTGTTGCAACAATTCTGTGAGCTCTATGAACATCCAAGATAAGGAGCTTGCAATCCAATTTTTTTGCCTGCTCCAAAAACCAAGCAAGAGGTTTTAGATTACAGTAGTTCTGGTTTCCACAATGCAGTTGTTCTTCAGTTTCTATAACGTTTTTCCTTTAGAAAATACTTTTCTTTTACTGAATTACTTCATTACCTAGAGGAAAAAGAGGGATTCCAGAGTGCTGGATTACTATATATTATTAAGAATATCAACTTTCTTTTCTTATTTAAAACACATCCATGTTGTAAAGGATTTTTTTTCTACTCAAATTCTGAATTTGCTCTGTTTAAGGAAATCCCTATTGTGTGGTCTTAGTGGGAGGTAGAACTCTGCCTTCCATCACCAAAACCAAAGGAAGACAAAATGTGATTTTTTTCCTGTTTCCAAGCAGGTAGGAAGCAAATGAGAGATTCAGAATGAGCCAGTCAGATGCTCCTGCCCAGGACTTTGAATGATGAGAAAACAGTGCAAAGAGGCCAAGGCAGTTGGAGAATATACATTATCATCAGTGGCAGGGCAAAAGCTAACAAAAAAATAGCAAAGTGTCTGTTTCCACACATTCTTACCAATAATGAATTTCTTATATTTTTAGTCTTTGCCAATTGGATATGTAAAAAATGTTATAGTGTATTCACTTGTCTTTGAATACTGAGTTTTAACATTTTCACCTGTTTGTTTGGCATTTGTATTTAATCTTCTTTATATAGCTATGCATGTTTCTTTTCTATTAGGATATCTGTCTTTTTTCTTATCAATTTTTAAGAGTTGTACACACACACATACACACACATATCTATGTCTTAAATGTCAAATATTGCTTTTTTTCAGTTTGTGGTTTGTCATTTAATATGGTTTTTAACAGTTTTGCAATTATTGACTTTGAGTCCGTGTTAATGCCCTAATATGAACTCTAACCACCATCTTTTAGTCAACAGTTTCCCTTTATGTTGGCATTACCTAACCTCAGAAAGATGGATGACACCGATATTATCTTCTACTTGGGAACAATGGCAAGACATGAGTAATCGATGTTGCTTCCAAGGAGAGTAAAATAATTGGGTGATAGAAGTAGAAGGGAGATTTTTCAGGGTATATATTTTGAATTTTTGAAATTTAAATGATGTGAGTATATTACGTATAGGTAATATACTAACTAATCATACTTATATAACTAATTTAATTAATGAAAATAAAATTCAGAGCAATACCAACTATGGAGTGGAACTGCTCACAAACTGAAGATACCCTTACCAATACAGCAAACATGAAAAGATCTTTTCAAACACTGTGTGTAATGATTAGATTCTGTATAAATATTTTTACTGGAGAGACAAAGCTACAATTTTAATTATGTCACTATGTAAGTGTGTCCATATGATCCCATATCTATCAATGAGGCATAAAAACATTTTTTAAACCTAATGTCTTAAGCCACGTAGGCAGTGGTGTGCTGGAACCAGCTCATACTGGCTGACAAGAGCCAATTACTAAATTTCAGGAAATTTGTGAGTTGGTTGCTAAACACAGATCTTATTAAAAATTAAATTATATAAGCTTAATTAAATACTGTACTAGAAACAAAATTAAATATTCAAAAGACATCACTTCTTAATTATTTTACTACATTTTACTATAATCTATATTCAGGTTATTTATATCTACTGCATTTATATGGTGGAAATACTATATAATGGTATAATAGTATTACTGCGTATCTCGTCTCAACTCTGTATTCACATTAGTTGCTTGAAATCAGTTATAGTGGGAGTATTTACACTAGGGAAATAGGCAAATGCTACAAATAAAGTCTCTCTCTTTCTCTCTCTCTCTCTTTTTCCTGGAGTGATAGACGCCACTGTATGTAAGCCTTTAAGTGTGAGATTATTCTGTACTATAAATATGGATATTGGAAGACCTCATTGACATAACTCTTTAGGCTAATAAACTGAGACATATAATTTCAAGACACATCTTTTAGTTTTAATTGTTTGTGAAGCAATGAGAAAATTTCAGAGGAATTAAAACTTGTAATAAAGTGGTATTCATATACATTCTCACCCTCTATATCTTTTTAGACAATATAGCTGCCTGACACAGTGGATGAAGGTGGAGACCCCAGAGCTAGGCTGCCTTGGTTTTAAGTCCTACCTCTGTTACTTGGCAGTTACTTGATCTTGGGCAAATGACCTCTCTGCAGGCCAGTTTCTTCGTTTATAAAATGTGGACAGTTACAAGAACTTACTTCATATGATTTTATGAAAATTAAATTAATATTTTCAAATACAGTAGAGTCTGGCACAAAGTAAGCCCTATATAAGTGTTACAGAAAGATAAATACACTGTAAGAGGGGATTGTCATATTATCCTGATCACACTATACAGTTCATCTGGGAATTATCCACATGAAGGCTTTCACTGGAAACCTTGGCAACCTAAAATTGACTGCTGCGGCAAGATGTGTAAAGGAGTATGGCAAATGCCCAGTTACTTAGTAAAAACTCATAAAAATCAGCAGTTTTTTTGTCACAACAAATGACCAAGAAGCCAGGGTTGAGCTTGTGGAACTGTTTCAAGAGAATAGCCTGTGAACTGTAAAATATTCTTCTAAATGTTGGCATACTTACAATTCTAGCTCAAATCTCCATTGCCATGTGCTAAATTTTTTGACACAGCTTCTTTTTTTATTACTTTTGTTTTTACTGCTACTAAATGCAATAACCCATGTATTCAACTCAGTAGGTAGGTCTCATCTTGTACTCTGAATAGTCTCTATCTTTCTTGTCACAGACCAATATTCTGGAAAACAAAAAATGTCTTCCCGCCTGAGCAGAAAAGTCTTCTGGGCAGAAAGAATCAGTTGTGTACTAGAAATAAAGGGCTGCCTTTCCAATTTTCCAAATAGACAGAACATTGCCCACATGCTTGGTCAAAATAAGATGACAAGAGGTAGTTCAATGTACAACATGGTTAAGGACACAGCACATGGGGGTCAACTGCATGGATTCCACTTTTACTTACACTTGTGTTCTTGGACAGATTCCTTAATAACTCTTTGCCTCAGTGTCAGCCTCTGAAAATGCAGATAAGAGAACCCGCTCCGTTGGTTGTTGCAAGGATTACAAATTACATTGTGAGGTGTTTACAGCAATGCTTGCTACACAGTAAGCAGTCAATAAATGAAAACTATAATAATCATTATTTTTGCTATTAATTAGACTGACTGTTTCAATTGCACCAATCACTCAATTGGTCAGTTGTTTTGGTCTGGTACCCTTGATTTCCTATTTCAACAGTTTATTGTGAAGTTTTATGAATTTTAAATTCTATGGTAGTCAGAAACTAGAAATGTTAGTAGACAGCTAACTTTATAGATTTAAAAACACTGTTTTTCTACAATGGTACCCTCTCTCAAAAAAGAATTTTCATGATGAGTTTATTTTGCTTTCCAGATGTAATCACTCCAAATGGCTTGAATGTTAAAAAATTTTCAGCAGTACATGAGTTTCAAAATCTGCATGCCACGTACAAGGCCAGGATCCAAGATTTTGTTCGAGGTCATTTCTATGGGTATGCTTCCCTTTATTAAAAAAAAAAAAAAAAAAAAATCTAGGATGTGGTTTTAGGGATCTATGGTATAGAGAAAACAGGATTGTCGTAATAAATGTTTATCTTTCCCAGCCTTCTTCCTACTTTAACAAAATTCATTTGTACATTTTGTTGTTGTTACTTTATTTAATTTGAAACTGTTTTGTTTTGTTTTAGTCATCTGGACTTTGATCTTGAAAAGACTTTGTTCCTTTTCATTGCTGGGAGGTACGAGTATTCAAACAAAGGAGCTGACATCCTCCTAGAATCCTTATCCAGGCTGAATTTCCTGCTGAGGGTAAGAAAGCTCTAGGATGCGATACAATGCTTTTATCGGAGGACTTTCTTCTGTGGGAAGTAAAGCACTTTCTGACTTCTTAAATAGTTTTCAAAAGAATATACGATTTTTGAAGACTTAAAATGACAACCTTACTCTAAAAATGGCTTTGGTCTTTCAAGTTACATATTAGGATTGCTACATTGTTCACTTGCGTATTTGTCTATATTGTCAGGTATTTTATTTGAGAGAGCCACAAGCTTATCATGTCCTATGTGTTATGTTTTAAGATGACATGATAACATTCCTTTTTCCCCCCTGCAAGAGTTTATAATCAATTGAAAGGTAAATATAGAGAAATCAAGCAAGTGGGGAACAAAATTTCACCTTTTTTAAAACTGATAAAAACCATAATAGAAGATGTGGCTTCAGTATATGGCACCAATAGGCTTCCTAATACTAAATCTTTGTATTGGACTTAGCCGTATAATCACAGGCAGCTCTGGCCATCACCATCCTTCCCCAACCAAAGCAGGCCTTTGAGGAACACGTACCACATGGCTGACAACCACGCAGTTGCTTTCTGTAGAACAAGGCAGACACACACAAACTCTGTTCCTCCCCCAACTCACCAGTCACGCCTCCTCTCCAAGACTTAAGAGTCTCTCAAACTGTGAAACTAAGAGATGTCCCACCACATGGAAACATGAAGGAGGAGAAAGGAAGTTCCCACTCCCAACAATGTGGAATCAAGTTTTGCTCAGGAAAGTGGGACTTAAAATAGGTTTTCAATTAATCCAACAATCAAATCTGTGCAAATAGAAGCAACTATAGAAAATGGTACCATGTCAGAGCTACTGAATAAGCTATTGGCTTATATTCTAATCCTATCACAAAAAAATATAGAATAAATAACAGTAAAATACTCACAGGAAACGAGTGTAAAATTTCAACCTTATTGAGATTCTGAGGCCATCTAAACTTTCCTAAGCTCTGTACTGCTCTCCAGCTAAATTTTTATTTCTTGGACAATAGATTTATCCTTGCCTTAGAGCAGACATTACACTAAGTATGCTAAAAGATTTACTTAAACCACATTAATAAGAAAGTGATACATTGATAAAAACCCAAGTTTGTAAAATAGGACTAAAGACCAGAAAAATAACAATCTCATTTCACAATATTTCCTAGTATGTATCTATTCAACAAGCTTTATAGATGAACTCACAACTATATCAAACATGTATCATGTTTAGGGACATTATTAATCAATTTATCCATACATTTATTAAATATTCACTTTATTTTTAGATGTGAATAAAAAGCCAATTGCTATTATTCTAGACATCAAAGATAATTACAATACTTGGAGAAGTTAAAAGAAGGCATTCTCTTTCCATAAAGTACTTTTATTCTTTAATAGCACATTGGCTACTCCTGGAGTGAGTTTTCTATTCTATGGCTTCTGAGGATTTTTTGAATAGAATGTCAAGCCCTAGAGTGCAGAGGCCACAGATTAGATGGTAAAGTGCCCCACACTCAGGAGATAGTCAGTCATTTCCAGAATACATGAGCATTCATCTGTTCATGGTTTTGAGTGAGTGCATGTTTTCATTTCCACAGCTGTTTGATATGTCATTTCCTTCTGAGAGATGCTAGACCAATGATACTTGTAGGAAGAGGAAAACAAAACATAGATTTTAGAGTCAAAAAACACCAGTTTGAGTGCCAGCTTTGCCAATAACCTGTTGCAGGAGTTCAGACTCATAATGAACTTCTCGTCCCTCTCTTTCAACATTAGTAAAGTGAGGAGAGTGATATCTATTGTGCGAGGTTATTACATGGATTGGGTTAAATTATGTATTTAGAGCACCAAGCACACTGCCTGCCACACCAAGAGTGCTGAGCATATGGCTGAGCATATGCTTGTTCCTTTACTTTAAGGCTAAAAACCAAAATGCAACATTCTGAGACTCAAGACATTCAACAGACAAATATAAATAATCTATTTGGGCAAATCAATGTGAATAAGCTAGAAAAAAAGAATAAACCAAAACTAAATCCTCATTAACTTTCCAATCTGAAATTTTACGGAACGAATTTTAGCTTTGTCATATTAGCTCACATTTATGTTACTTTTTTAACTACCAAAAAGCGCAGTGATATCAATAGCAATTGCTATATATTTTAGATGATCAATGCCTTGAAAATATTTTATGTCTGAATTTGCAAATTGTTAATTGACAAATATTTGTAAGTCATATTTATATTAAAATTTCTGAAAAAGCCTCAGGAATGTGAGTATAATTTCTCTGTGAATCATAAGTAAGAATTCTTTGTACCTAAACCTATTTTAAAACACTATTTTTTCAAAGTTTAAGGTCCATCTGTCACACGTTTTATCTCTGGTAGTTGACGCTGTTGTGTTTTCTCCTCCCTCATTAGATGCATAAAAGTGACGTCACTGTGGTGGTGTTTTTCATTATGCCTGCCAAAACAAATAATTTCAACGTGGAAACCCTGAAGGGCCAGGCAGTGAGAAAACAGCTCTGGTAATCTCACAGCTTGTCAATGTTCTCAAGCAATAAGTGTAAAGGGGTTTTTTTACGTGCATGATTTCTGATATATTTCCTTGAACTTTTTTTTCCTTAGGATTATTATGGCACACATACTACCTGGTTCTTCTCTCATTGTGCTACTATGTTAGATTATGTAATGCCTATAAAACTGATACAATAAAAAACTTTGAAATGAGCTACCATTTATCCTACAGAGGATAAAGCCTCTGTAGAAATCTTTGAAGACAGATTGAATTTTTTTTTAATTTTTATTCTGGAAATTTAAAAACATATGCCAAAGTAAAGAGATTAATATAATGACCCCCTACATGCCCATAGCCCAGATTCAACAATTATCAATGAATTCCCAATCTTGTTACAGCTTTACCTCCATCCACGCCCACTCTCTGCCCTCTGCCCTCCTCTGATTATCATCAAGCAAAAAAATGTTACACTCTCTGGGCTGCTCAGGATGTTCTGCTGCCTCAAGTCTGGAAGTTTTAAGCTAAATTGGCAAATAGGAAATAATAGAAGAGGTTATACAAAAGAGACCTGTAATTTCAAAGAATGCACGGACGGGGCGCGCCCGCTGGTGTAGCGAGTCAGTTCGCGCTGTCCGCTTCTGCCCCGGGGTTCACCGGTTCTGATCCTGCGCGGACTTACCGCTCATCATGATACACAGCTATGTAATGGGGCTTTGGAGAGGAAAAAAAAACAAGAAGAGGAAGATTGGCAACAGATGTTAGCGTAGAGCCAATCTTCCTCAAAAAAAAAAAAAGTGCTAGAAATTAAAAAAAAAAAAAAGAATGCACTGACAAAACAGCAGCATTGTCATGGCAAATAAAAATGTAAAATTGTGACACTGTGTAAATTATAAATCTTTGTATTCATACAGGGACATTGCACATTCTGTGAAGGAAAAGTTTGGAAAGAAACTCTATGATGCATTATTAAGGTAGGTGCTTGGAATATTGAACATTTCAAACATCTGGAGCTTCACTATTCAAAGTTAACAATTTAGACACCATATTTTGATCCAAATATAAAGGAATTAATAGGCTTTGAAGATATATTACATCATGTGAGCAGGTTTTGTTTTATCCTTCATCTGAGGAATACTTGTAGACATGTGCAGATGAGAACATATTTGTATATGCAGCTAGGTTCTAATTCAATGGAAATCTCATTAAGGATTAATATATCAATCTGAAGCTGGGGGAGATTTTCGTGAGATTTTAAGTCAAAATAGATACTCACTTAGGGTCCGGCCGGGTGGCACAAGCAGTTAAGTGCTCGCTCTCTGCTGCAGCGGCCCAGGGTTCGCTGGTTTGGATCTCGGGCGCCCACTGACGCCCTGCTTGGCAAGCCATGGTGTGGCGGGGTCCCATATAACATATAAAGTGGAGGAAGATGGGCATGGATGTCAGCCCAGGGCCGATCTTCCTTCTCAAAAAAAGAGGAGGATTGGCAGATGTTAGCACAGGGCTGATCTCCTCACACACACACACAATATATATATATATATACTGACTTAATATATATTTACTTATATATTCAATTAACATATTTATTCATTAACATATTAATTAATATTAACGTATTTACTTAAATAATAAACAGTTATTTAAATAAATTTATTTAAATTTAAATATATTTAATTTAAATTATTTATATAAATGTATAAATAAAATAAAACGTAACAAAGTCAAATTAAAATATAGTATAAAATAATAATATATATAAAATATATGGATTTTATTATGATATGAAATAAAAGCTATGTCATCTCCTGATCCATGGTGGCAGGTGTGCGTTTCTTTTTACTGGTAAAAATATCAACTTATAGATGGATAAGTTATGGCCACTTTAAAGCATAGTACTGAGGGGTAGGCAAAATATAATGAGAGTGTCCTCTTGCTGGTCAACATTAACCCTTTAAAAATAAACTTAGGGGTCCAGCCCGGTGGCGCAAGCCGTTCAGTGCCAGCGCTCCACTGCAGTGGCCCGGCATTCGCCGGTTTGGATACCGGGCGTGCACGGATGCACCACTTGTCAAGCCATGCTGTGGTGGCATCCCATATAGAGTGGAGGAGGATGGGCATGGATGTTAGCCCAGGGCCAGTCTTCCTCAGCAAAAAGAGGAGGATTGGCGGATGTTAGCTCAGGGCCCATCTTCCTCACAAAAAACAAAAACAACAAAAAAAATAAATTTAGTTTTCTTTTCTCCTATCAAAAGTGTTCTTTTCTCAAACTTCCTCACACTTGAGGAATTTTTCTGAGAGCTTCATCAGGAAACTACTTTTGCTTTACTTTTTTTTTTTCTGGGAAAGATTCGCCCTGAGCTAACATTCATTTCCAATCTTCCTCTTTTTTTTTTTTACCTCCTCAAAGCCCCAGTACATAGTTGTATATTCTAGTTGTAGGTCCTCCTAGTACTTCTACGTGAGCCACCACCACAGTCTGGCTACTGACAGACGAGTGGTTTGGTTCTGAGCCTAGGAACCAAACCTGGACCGCCCAAGCAGAGCACGCTGAACTTTAACCACTAGACCATCAGGGCTGCCTCTACATTTATTTTTAAAGTGCTTAGAATGGCATCTGACACAAAGGAAGCACTGAATTAGTGCCAGCTGTTTTTATTTTTGTTATTAACATTGTTTTCCCCACAGAGGAGAAATTCCTGACATGAACAAGATTTTGGATCGAGATGATCTAACAATTATGAAAAGAGCCATCTTTTCAACTCAGGTGATAAAGACAAAAATGCCCACCACTTCCCATAATTGTTAACATCAATTTAGATCAATATCTTAACTTATTGGAATGGGCTAATTTGGGAAATTTTTAAACCCGAGAGCTAGAAAATTCATTCTTAAGTGTTCACCTAAATGACAACTTCATATATTCTCTTTCATGAGTGGTGTTTGGGGCTCCTTTTTAAAATCTCATGGAACTTGTCTTTGTATCCACTTAAAAAATTCATTCTGAAACAATATAGCCAATTGAAAAACTGTGTATATTGCAACGACAACAAAAAACCTCCTAGAGTTTTCAAAAAACATAGAATTCTGAGTCACGATACAGAAAAAGTGAATGTTTCTCAGTCAAGTGGAATTACTGCCAAAAAAGAGAAATTCGTGTTGTGTTAGGCGTACGCTGAAATCTTGTCATAACCCTGAGGCATTAGGCACTGGAAGACAGCCCTGCTGGAAGAATCCAGAATACCTCACCTTGAGTCAAGATTTCAGGACACCCTTATTCCAAATAAGTACCAGAAGCAGTCAAGAAGTCTAGGCCTTTTTTATAGTGGCTGCAGGTGAAAAACAAAAATATCGCGTGTTCGCAATATCCAAAGGAAGTTCTTCAACCCGTTATGCTCCTCTGAAACATACACAAAACTTAGTCATCAGCGTTAGTCATCTCAGAAGACTAAAGGCACAGGTTGGATGACATGTTGCCAATGACCTATTGTTGGAATTAGTCACACTTATTAATTCTTTCCACAATTGACATTTTCTTCCCTCTATCACTCCAGCGACAGTCTTTGCCTCCAGTGACCACTCACAACATGATTGATGACTCCACTGACCCCATCCTCAGCACTATTAGACGGATCGGGCTTTTCAACAGCCGCACAGACAGAGTCAAGGTAGAACTAATTGTTTATGGAGGATACTTCAAAATGATTAGAATAAATTTTTTTGAGAATTTATTAGAAGCCTCCCTTATTTGTTTTAACATCTATCAGAAATATTTTAAATGATATTTCTAAAGAAAATTAATTCTGTTTCCTGTCTTAGGTAATTAAAGTATAATGACTATTTTGAAATCATTCTTGAAAACTGAATAATATTTATGGCTTTGAGTCATAATTCTAGAATTTATTTTCATTGTACAATACTGTCAGGGAGCATAAGGAAATAACCTAATTCTTAATGATACAAATATATTCTAAGAATGACTTTAATTAATGAATCTCTGAGATTAACATGAATAGTCTTTGTTTCTTTCTGATAAAATTTAGTTTAAGGGAATAATATGGGAAGCTTCCACTTTCAGAGAATGTGGCTAATGAGGTTTTTATGTAATTTTCTATAGACCAATTCATTCTTTTTTTTTTTAAATAATTTTATTTATTTATTTTTTCCCCCAAAGCCCCAGTAGATAGTTGTATGTCATAGCTGCACACCCTTCTAGTTGCTTAGACCAATTCATTCCTTTGACTCTCGAGTTTCTACAATGACTAGGCACAGCGTTAGTTGCATGGATAAGACCTGGTTTCTGCCACTCTGGAGCTTAATCTCTATGATGTTTCTGAGGGTCTATTACATTCCAGGCACGGGGCTAGGTGTGGGGGACAGTGGTGAGCACATAAACAGATAATTGCTTATCCGTACTCATTTCCATTCACCAGTATTCCAGATAAGGTCGTCATAAGCTTTTATCAATCTTTTCAAAGGTCCCACTTTCCCTTTTCCTTCACCTTTAGCAGATGAGTTCAGTGAGTTATAAACTCCTTCAGTGTCCCTCCTTTCTGGCCTCAAATACAGGTTTTGACCTATTGTTACTTCTTTTCCTTCAGGTTCTAAGGGTCGTTCTGGGATCTCATTCCCTCCCACATTCTTAAGAAACTTGCCCTGTCTACCCTCTCTTACATTGTAGGTTTACTAGCTCCTTCCTATGCTGTCTATAAATATTCCTTAAACTTGCCCACATTAAAGAGCAAACAAACTTTGCCTTAACCGTCTCCTCTTGATGTTTTTAAATGTTTCTGTCTTCCCTACTCTTCTCTGCAAGATTTCTTGGAGAAAAAAAAAAATAGTCTATTATTAAATTCATTTCTCATCTTGCATTCACTCCTTGATATAGGCATGAGTAGATATAGTGGAGGGAGACACCTGTACTTTTGAGAGATGATGAGGGCCTCTTATAAAGGCCATATCAGAAGTGCTAGAGAGGACGGAACAATGGGACAGATGGTTGCACGTAGAAAAGATCATACTTAGTGACCAACGGACATTTGGAATGAGAAAGAGGGAAGACACAAGAATAATATCCTAGCTTCAGTATCTAACCAATACTTTCTAAAAACTAAAGAAAGGCTTTAACAGAAGTTGGTTGGAGGGTCATGTCACAAATTGAGTTCAGTTTTTCGTAGATTGAGTTTAAGTTATGTGTGAGCTGTTCAAGTTGAGATGTTTAATAGGCACTTAGAAAATATAGGTCTGGGATTTACAAGGGGAATAGTGAAGTGAGCTATCGGTGCGTGGGCAGTAGTGTAGACCAGGGAATGGCGACCCTACCATGCTGGAAAACCAGGTCAAATAAGTGGAGAAAAGTGTCGGCCTAAGGAAACCTTAAGATTTAGGAGGGAGTTAAGAGACGAAAAGTCAGGGAAAGAAAGAAAGAGCAGAGAATTAGAAAAGGAAAATATCTCAGAAATCAAGGCAGGAGAAATTTTCATGATAGAAGGAAAAGCTCATAATACAGCATTAAATGATACAGGCTGCATATAAAATGTTCCATACTGTGTTAACACTTTCATTTCAAACATATTCTACACACACACACACACACACACACACATGTGTGTATATTGCCCTGTGCCATAGAGTTATGGGTGATTTTTATTTTCTCATTTGTGTTCCTGCATTTCCAAAATGTCAACCCCCAATGCACCTTCTATAATAGTCAGGCTACAAATTTTTCCCTGGAAATGCAAGAATGTCTCCACTAAGGATGCCCCATCCTTTGTGTTTTTCAACAGGATCGGATCCGCAGAGCCTTACCTCACTGCAGAGTGTATCAACACTATCTTGGCCTCATTCTCATGTAGTTTATCTTAGACTGGTCCTTCTCAATTTTTTGTCTCTTGCAAAAGAAATAATGGGGGCAAGAAAGCCTCTTACCTCCCTGTAGACTTCTGTTTTTCTCAGAACCTTTGATGTCACACCCATATCTAAATCTGTGGATCTTCCTCTGATGATCTCTCCATGCCTGGCACATGTTGTGTACAATAAATACAGATGGAAGGGAGGATGTGATAGGGTGAAAAGGAAGGATAGGTCATGAGGCTGGCTATGGTTTCATGCTTCCGTTGCTCTTGGGAAGACCAAAGCTCGAAGGTCCCTTGAAATTGGAAGCTTTGAACAAAGTATGCTCTGTTGATCTATGTTTTTTTTTTTTTTTTTAAAAGTGTGATAACAGTGAAGCAATTTCCCAGGAATGGACAAGTACCTTATTTCCTAAATATATTCAACACTTTCATGCCTCTGTATCTTTGCTGATATTATTCCCTCTTTCTGAAACACCCAATATCTCAGCCATTCTAACAAGTCCTTTGGGATCCAACCTAAAAATCATCTCTTCCTTGCACTTTTCCTTAATATACATTCACCTACTCCAGACAAAACAATTGTTTCTTTATCTGTGTTCCCAAGACACTTTATATCTACAGCAATTATAGGAATCATCACATTGAATTGTATATATATTTTTAATTTATGTATCCATTTCACCAGAGATACTGGGAGTTCTTTGAGCAACAATTTTATCTCATATACATTTTCTCAGTCTTCATCCTCTGAGAAGCAGACCCCAAGACGGGATTAGATATGAAAACACTTCTTGGCAGAAATGCCTGTGAAGGATAAAGAGGTTGAAAGCAAGAGCAGGCAGAGAGGTGCAGTCAGACACTGTGAAGAGAGAGCTCAGTTTGCAAGAAGTCAGCTTTTTTTTTTTTTTTTACAGAAAATCAAGTGTATTTAATGAAAAACTCGCACATATGTAAAAAAAAAAAATGCACACATAGCCACACTATGTTGTGACTCATAAAGGAGAAAAGCAGTGCTCCAGGACCACTCAACATGGCTTGTCTGTTAATGGGAGAAAACACACACACACACACACACGCACACGCACACGTGCTCATATGCCCACAAAAACAAAACAACAACAATAGTTTTCAGCAGTATAATCAATCTACAGCTAACACAAATTCAGAATTATTTTACAGTGCTTCCTTTCTTAATACAAAAGATGCCCGTTAATATATTAGTGTTACTATATACAACATTTTCCTGTATTCAACAATCTTTTCTTTATATTTTACCTTCATGGGTACCTTCCACCTACCAAAACAGTTTCAAGTTGGCAGGCAGATGAGTGCCTTATTCTATGAGCAATTGAATTCGACGGTTTTAATAGGGATTTCTATTAATAGGGATAGGAATTCCCCAAGCAAAAGTTGCCCATTAAAAGAACCACCCATTGGGCAGAAATGGGTTGGCACTTGTACCCATCTGTGCCAGTCCTATAGGCTACAGATGCTGTGGTGGATCCAGAGGGGAGACAGTTGGGGCCGTCAGTCAAGATCCCTGGGCCGGGATCTCTTGAAGGAAATCTGAGCAGCAAATTCAGGGCTGCCACACCCATAAAGGAGGCAGTATGCCAAGTCCTTAAAGATGATACTTATGCTGTCTGACTTTAAATCTCTCCCACTTATTCAATTTTTAAGTTTACTTAATCTACCTGTACCTGGGTCTTCTCATTTGTAAAATGGTGATAATATAGCCCCATGCTCATGGAATTGTTGTGAGGATTAAATAAATAATAGATGCGGCTTTTAGCACAGTCCCTGGCACATAGTAAATGCAGAATAAATGTTAGCTTTTATTAGTACTTAGTCCAGTACGAAATGGGTACTCAATATTTTTTAGAAGAGAAGTGTGAACAGAGTTTGGCCAGAGTAGAAGATAGAGGATTTATCTTTGCCTGCAGGATTTAATAAAATGTTTTATAAAAGAGATGATATGTTAGCTAGATCTTGATCAATGAGCAATTCACCATGCAAATGACAGGAAGGAGAGAGGGCTCACCAGGCAGAACAAGAAGTAGATGAAAAGGAACAGAGATATAAAAGCACACAGCTTATGTAGAGTGAATGGAAAAGGAAGTTTGTTTCATACAAATCATGTTTATGTAGTTAAACTCATGAATATTTTGAGATATTCATTGATTATGATCATAAAGAAAATACACACACTCATACACCAAAGAAATGAAAGAATAGCCCCTTTCTAACAATATACACTCAAAACACTAAGATAAACTTTGGTCAAAGCAGAATTAGGTATTTTATTTTATTAGTAGTATCCCAAAGGCTTGATACTAACTCAGGTCTTGTGTGTATTATTTATAGAATGCTATAGAGTGGTTCTTAACTCTCCACTGGATTGATAAATTTTTTATAGGAATATGACCATTTGATTCAGGAAACATTGCAGATTATTTCGAATTTGAACTTATCATTGACCCTGCCTTGACAGCAGGATATAGTGAGAAAAGTCTAGACTGCAGATTTCAGGTCTCAAGCCTGTGCTGCTGCCCTGTGAACATAAACTAACTTCCTGGGACCTTACTTCCCACGGAGGATAAATACAGTCAGACAGGTTTTTGCTTGTTTATTTGTTTTTTCCCGACTGGTGCAGGGCCTGCTGTGAGCCAAGAGCTCTGCTGGGGGCTTTTGTACACAGGATCTCATGTAAGCCTCCCTCTAACCTTGGGCTGATCTCTCATATCCTTTCCTCCGCTCCGGGTTTCTGCATTAGCTGTTTTAGGGCCCAGAGCAGCTGTTTTCTTATTTTAGTTGTGCTGTCATTCTATTTGGCTGGGAACAAAACGAATGAGCCATGACGTTTTCATGTTCCAAAACGGGCTTTGGAGAGTACAAATTTCCCTAAGCTTGGAAATGCCAAAGTAGGCACAATGCCTTTCAAATCCCTCTTTGTTGATATTTGCCAAGACAGTATAATGGGCTGCCAATTTGCTGGTGCCCAGACACAGTCAGTATCCATGTTTTCTGTCTCTTTTCCTAGTGCAGTGCTTTGCACATAATCTGAACTCAAAAATCATGTTTAAGGAGGAAAATATTTTATCCATTTTTACTTTGCCAATTTGTGATTCTTGTGACTGAATAAACCATCATTTTTAGGTACTGTGTTGGGGCATTTTACCATTTTATTTCTTAAGTTTAACATATCTCCTATTTATGGATCTGCTGAGATATAACTAATACCTATAAAATCTTAGTTTACTTATTTCTAAAATTAGGACAATGAGACTGTCTATTCTAACCATCTCACAATCCTGCTAAGATTAAATGAGGAAATATATATGAAAATTGTTTATAATAAAATATTACTCAACTGTTATCATTATTATTATATGTTCAAATTAGGGTATTTTTTTCAAAGCCATCTCTTTGGAAGAATATATACTTATTCCATGAATAAAAAATAAAAAGTAAAGTGTGCTTGTTAAAAAGACAGTTTCTTTTTCCTTTTCTCTTCCTCTCCCTTACTCTTTCCCTTTCCTTCCTGAACAATTCAGTTCTAAAGCCATGAGGTGGGGCAACACAAGGTAAGTGTCTACACTGGAAGAGGGAGAGAGAGTGCTGTGGAAGTCCAGGGAAAGGAGTCAGAGGCCAGGCAGGGTGAGCCCACACAGAGGGGAGCAGCTTGTGGGCAGAGGGTCAGAGCCAGAGTGGAGTGAGGCAGGTGTCTCGCATGTGAGGGAGTGGCTGTGGAGGGAGGCTAGTTAAATGGAGCGGTATCTTAGTGAGGGGGATGGTCTTAGTCTATTAGGGCTGCTATAGCAAAAGACTACAGACTAGGTGGCTTATAAACAACAGACGTTTATTTTTCACGGTTCTGTAGGCTAGGAAGTCCAAGATCAAGTTACCAGCCTGGTTGAGATCTGGTGAGGACCCTCTCCCTGGTTCATAGACAGCACCTTCTCACTGTGTCCTCACGTGGTAGAAGGGGCTAGGAATCTCTCTCTCTTTCTTTTATAAGGCACTAATATATATATAATATTATATATATAATAGTAATATAATATAATAATGTATATATATAATATTATATATATAATAGTAATATAATATAACAATGTGTATATATATATATAATCCCAGTACTTTAAAATCAGATTTTATTTATTTTTAATAACTATTTAGCTATGGGGGAGGCTGACAGATAGCCTAATCATAGTTCAGGAAGAACTTTAATAAATAGGAGAATTCGTTCATCCAGGTGACCAGTGAAGTAGTATTCTATTCACAACCTTCCAATTATAGCCATGCTCCCTCTTGTCTCTGCCTTTGCAGAACATTACGACAGTGCAGTCTCAGAACTGGCTCATACCAGAGCATGAGAGCCAATTGTTAAATTTTCAGAAATTTTGTGAGCAAGTTTAAACACAGCCACTGTTTAAAATTAAATTATGCAAACTTAAAAATAAATCAGTCATATTAAAAAGAAAGGTAATGTTCAAAACTCATTGCACCCTAATGGTTTACTACACTTTACTATTACCTAGCTCTTCAGGTTATTTATGGCAATTGTACCCACGTGGTGGAAATACTCTGTAATGATGTGCTACTGCTCTTCCCATCTCCAGTTCAGTGACATCACATTGATAGCTTGAAATTGGCCATGGCGGGAGTATTTCATTTACAGTGGGAAAATAGGTGAACACCACACATCATGGCTTGATTAACTGTGTATTGATGGTCTAGACTTAAGAAAGTGGTGGAGAAATATTAGCAAGGCAAATTAAACTTAAAAGTCTTGTGTCTATAGTCATTACACAAAATTGAGTGGCACAAAAATATGAGGAAATATTTTTCCGTTATTTAAAAGCTAATATCCAACTCAGCAAAGAAGTCACTCATGTAATTGATGAACCTCTGAAGTTCTGACATGCATCTCTCTATTCCACTTTTTTTACTCATTAGCAAAGGAATCAATCAACATTTATGTCAGAATTACATTCAGTCATCAATTGAAACCACAACTTGATTACAAATACAAGATTTTTGCAAAAATCAACAAAGGCATTTTGGAGCATTTGACTATATAGAATTTACAATAAGGAGGATTGTATATATTTTTAATAGACTTTATTTTTTGGTGAGGTATTAGGTTCACAGCAAACTGAGCAAAAAGTACAGTGAGTTCTCATATAACCCCCTCCCCCACACACACATAGCCTCCCCAATTGTCAATATCTTGCACCACAGTGGTATATTTGTTGCAACTGAACCTACATTGACACATTATCATCACCAAAGATCCATAGTTTACATTAGAGTTCACTCTTGTTGTGGTATGTTCTATCGGTTTTGATAAATTTATGATGACATGTATCCACTATTATAGCATCATACAGAATAGTTTTGCTGCCCTAAAAATCCTCTCTGCTCTGCCTATTCAACCCTACCCCACCAAGCCCTAATCATTTTACTGTCTTCATAGTTTTGACTTTTCTAGAATATCATATAGTTGGAATCATACAATATGTGACCTTTTCAGATTGGCTTCTTTCACTTGGTAATATACATTTAAGATTCCGCCATGTCTTTTAATGGCTTGATAGCTCATTCCTTTTTAGCACTGAATAATATTCCATTGTCTGGATGTACCACAGCGTATTTATCCATTCACCTACTGAAGGACATCTTGGTTGCTAAGTTTTAGTAATTACAAATTAAAGCTGATATAAACATCTGTGTGCAGGTTTTTGTGTGTACATTTTTTACTATTTGGAAATTGTATGCTACACATCCTTTATATCAGTAAAATGTGTAGTAAACTTAGGTACAAATATATATTTATACTTTAGTTTTTCGGCTCTTAAACATTTACCAGCACACCACTGCTTAGAGGCCATGGTAAACACTTTGGTTTTTACTCTGAGTGGAATGTGAAGCCACCGAAGGATTTTGAGCAGAGGAGTGGCTGACATTTCTAAAGGTTCACTCTGGTTGTTGTGTTGAGTAGAGACCTTAGTGGAACAGAAGCAGGGAGTTAGGTTAGGAAGCGACTGCCTCCAGGTGAGAGAGAACGGTGGTATGGATGAGGGCTTCTGGTCTGATCTAATCTAGATAAGATTCCTAGAACATCTTCCCTGTCCCTTAGGTCCATTTCACTTGGCTAACTCATGCCTGGGGCATGTGAGGGTAGTCCATTAAATAACTCCTCTCTTTCCTGTTCAAGGCAGGAACAAATTGAGAAATAGGACAGGGGCAAGCAGTTAGAGAACCAAATAAAAACTTTATTGCTGATAGAGGCTGGGTTGGAGGATGTAGTTTAGCATGAGAACAAAAATGGGCACACTAACTCACTATCCTCCAGCCTAGGGCTTAGCACCTGAGGGAAAGTAAGTCTACAGAGTCAATTCTTACACAGAATGGAGGGAGGAGATAAAAGCACCCAGGCTTTTTCTTGTTCTTTTTTCTCATCTCTCTCTCTCTCTCCTTTTTTTACCCCTGAATCTAGAACACAAGGATTCTATGGTATTGAAATAACCAAATTGTAGGAGATTTTTTTGCTTTAATCTCTTCTTTCTCTCTTTTTTTTCTCATTAGAATTTTCCTTTTTTAGGTGATTTTGCACCCAGAGTTCCTTTCCTCCACCAGCCCCTTATTACCCATGGATTATGAAGAGTTTGTCCGAGGTTGTCATCTTGGAGTATTTCCATCATACTATGAACCATGGGGCTATACTCCAGGTATGTGACATGTATAGATTGTGGAATGTTTTGAATTATATTAATATTTTATTTTATGTATATGTATGTAATATTCAAATTGATATGTAATTTATCCTAAGGTTTTGATTTTGCAGTTTGTTTTAAAATTGATTTTAGTTGGATCTACCTTGGGGTCAATTTTATGCTTTGTAGGTCCTGACCTAAGAATAAAGACAGAGATTACGTAAGTATACCAGGTTGTTGGGCATATTTTAGTGGGTATCTGAGTTATTGCCTAATTGCATCCCTGCAGAAAGAATGTTCTATAATATAATATTTCATTATCTCCACCAGTCCTTTCTATTAATGTGAAGCAGAAATTGGTTAATATGAGAAACAACGGTCCAGCAAAATTGTTCTCTAAAACTTATTTCAGAAGAATTCTCTTTTTAAAATAATTAATAGATGTATTTAATTTTTAATAGTAACATATTCACGTGGTTAGAGAAACAAATAGTATAAAAACGTGTACAGTGAAAAATCTTCTTCACACTCTTGTCTCTCAAAAAGAGGTACTTTTAAGATAAAATGCCATTTCAGTGGTATTATGCCCAATGATATTGCATTCAGACCCTCTTCCCCTTCCCCTCTCCCCCCACCTTGTTTTTCACAATGGTGGGTTCTCAGATCCACTGTCTATTTTTCTTTTCTGGCTCCAACTAGCATGGCTGCCATTAGCATCAAGAACCGTCAATTTGTACTGAAATGCTTAATCAAAAAGGAAACAAATACTTTTAAATACATGCCATGCAAAGAATACAATAATGACTTTTCCATCTCGTATTGGTAATCAGAGATTTTCCTCCTAGTTTTGAAAAATTCCATTTACAATTTTAAAAGAAAAGGTTTAGGAAAAATTTTTATTTATAATTAATAAGTTTTGCCTTCTGCATCTCGATGTCATCATTGCCCAAATAAGGGGCAGCAGCAGTCACGATTAGGGAGATCATAGGCTGAATTATAGAGACACAGAACTTTTCAAATCTTTGCATTCTGATTCCAGAATTTAAATATAGAATTAAAAATTCTAAATAAATAGGAATTTTTTAAAGGAATTTTTACAATAGGAGCGACATGAGGGCTCTGTAGCTTTTGACATAAGGTCCTATTCTGTTGTTCTAGGTGCACCATGAATAATTTGCCAGCAGTTGTAAAAACATGAAAACTCTTGGGAAAAATAGATAAAGGATTATCCCTTCTTGAAACAGGACATAGGAAAGTTATTGATCTAATTCCTCCAGCTATCTCTCTTGTGGTTCTAAAAATCGTTATTGGCATCAGTTCCACTTTTGTGAAGGTGGTATCTTGTTACTTATGAAATGTCCACATAATTATATTAAATTGTTTATAATAGAGTATCTGTCTTTCAAGATACATAAAACACACATTTCACTGATGAACTTAACACTTTGTTATTGACTCTTGTTCCTATTGTTTCTAGTAAGTAACATAATGTACTATTGGAAGTATCAAGCATACAGAAGCACAAAACCAAAGCATGAGTGACTGAGGGAATGTGGGAAGTCATTTCTCTTGAGTAAAGAGAGTGTTCTATAACTTACAGCAGACTTTCCAACAAAATGTCATTTTATAGGAGAAAGTTAAACTTAACCTGAAATGAAAAAGGATGTATATCTAACGTTTTAAGATAAAGGCTAGCAAAGCTGTTATAAAAGATAAGTAGATGGGAAAAGGGGTTGGCAAATACTCCATAGTGAATGAGTCATTCTCTGTTTTAAATTAACCAAAGAAAGCTGGCCACTCCCCACCTAACCTACAGTTACAGAAATAACGATATCTCTGGTGGTATAAGTTTGGCGTTAGCATATTAGGTAACTCCCTAACTTTTAAAGAAATAATTGTTTTATGTGATACAAACTCTAATTCACTCCAGAAAGTATTCGTTGAAATCTGTGTTTTTTGTTTTGAGAAAACTCAATGAACATAAGCACTTATTTCATTATTCATTCAATGAACATATATTCAGCTTACCTGGGTACTTGGCATTTTACTACATGTGTGTTAAAGAGTATTTAACAAAAATAAGGATCTGTGAAGTTCCATAGAAATGTAGGCAAAATTTTTTTTGTGTGTGTGTGTATATACATATATATACACACACACACACATATATGTATGAGAATTTTTCTGGGAAGGAATTCCAGAGTTTTCATCAGATTCTCAAATGGGTCGATAATCCCCATCCCACTTTTCTCTCCTCTACCACCCCCTCAAAAATTAGGAAAGCACTGTTCTCTAGAGCTAAACCAGGAAGAAATACTCACAGATCAGGAGAAAAGGACACTACTTAAATCCTATCACTTCATGGGTAATGGGGAAATCTCTTTCTTTCCCACCCATCCCTGCTAGACAGGCAAGAGTAATTCCATAATCAAATATAAATTCTTTGTTAGAAATGCAGACATCCTTGAGAGTGGTAACGTTTCTAAAGACCTATCTGATATTTTTGGAAAAACAGGTTTTGACTAAAAGGTGAGAGGACTAAAAGAGATTAAATGTTTGCTGAGCATCTATGAAAGTGGAAGGGATTAGTGCCAAGGGAGGTGCATATGATGGGAGAAGCTGGTCATATCCAAAACATGTTTACCTACGCCATGAACCCACCGAAGACTTAGAGACACAAGCTTAGAATGGAGCAAAACCCGAAACCAGCTGGAAAGGGAGAAGCAGCATAGAGGAGCAGTTCCACTCAAGAGCTCTGGAGCTGGGCTCCTGGCTTCAAGGTTGGGCATGCTATTTAACCTCTCTGCACCACAATTTCTTCATCGGTAAAATGGGATAACAATAGCCTCACTTCACAGGGTGCTTGAGAAGATTAACTGAGTTAATACATGTATAGAACTTAGCGCTGTGCCTGGCGCAAAGTAAACATCACTATTATTAGGTAGACTCGGGCTTTTTTTCTCCTCTGCGTGCATCAGAGGATATAGAAGCTGGTCTGAGGCCAAGCCTTTGTCTATTTCCCCTGGCAGCTGAATGCACTGTGATGGGCATCCCCAGTGTGACAACCAACCTCTCCGGCTTTGGCTGTTTCATGCAGGAGCACGTGGCTGATCCGACTGCATACGGTGAGGTTTTTCATCATTAACCCAATCCAGGGCGACATGACCTCTAACCAAAGCACAGGGCCTTTATAGAGCCTAACTCTAAAGCTATCCTGATGATTAAACTAATGTTTATACTTCTTGTTTAATTAAAAGTGATCTGGCCCGGTGGCATAATGATTAGGTTCGCCTGCTCCCCTTCAGCGGCTGGAGGTTGGCGGGTTCAAATCTCAGGCGCAGACGTACACACCACTCATCCAGCCACACTGCGGAGGCGTCCCAAATACAAAATAGAGGAAGATTGGCACAGATGTCATCTCAGGGAGAATCTTCCTCAAGCAAAAAGAGGAAGATCGGCAACAGATGTTAGCTCAGGGCCAATCTTCCTCACACACAAAAAATTAAATATATTGCCCAAAAGACAAACTGCAAAAGAAGTGCTAAACTTGGACAAACCTTGCCCTTTATCTTTTTTTTTTTCTGAACTGGTTTGGCCCTCTGCTACTTAGAAGTGAGATTACAATAACCATGGGCTTAGAGTACATGGTATATTGGTCGGCGTAATTATTTAAAAGCTCCGTGTCAAGTTAGCAAAATTCATTTACATTGTTTAATGAATGACGACAGGAGAATTTGCGTGTCACCATCTATATGTCCATGTTGCCTAGCAGCAAGAAGAGTTCCAGTAGGATGGGTTCTCTGCGGACACCTTGCCAATTCCCTGGTCTTCCAGAGTTGCATCCTCACTGTTCTCTTTCCTCAGGCTGGAGCTGTGGTTCTCAGCCATGGCTGCATGTGGGAACCCCGGGGAGCCTAAAAAGCCCTGATACCCAGGTCTCACCCTGAGATTCTAGTTAGTCAGCAGCTCGGAGGAGAATCAGTGATCCAGAGTATCCCTATACTGCCAGATGTTTTTTTAGTGAGATCCATTTTGTTGGCTGTGTGTTGATGACAGTTGTAAACCATTAGAAGGAGATCACAAAAGAAACACAACCTCGGAAGGGAAAAGATAAAGCAGAGGCAGTAGGGGAGTCAGGGCGTGGATAATGCGTATGGTCTATGATAGAACCTAAGGGACAGGAGAAGAAATGCTCTAAGCTCAGCTCTACTTTTACCCAGGCTTGGCTTTTGTGCCCTTCAGGTATTTACATTGTTGACAGGCGGTTCTGCTCTCCGGATGATTCTTGCAACCAGCTGACCAAGTTTCTCTATGGATTTTGCAAACAGTCACGCCGCCAAAGAATTATCCAGAGGAACCGAACTGAGAGGCTCTCAGATCTTCTGGATTGGAGATATTTGGGCAGAGTAAGCAAGTTTGTGATCAACACAGAGGACCACTTTAAAAATCCCACTGGACTACGAAAGTCTTGATTCTAGTCATAATCTGTCAAGTCAACTCAGTATCATAATTGTTAAAATCTCAATGATGTTTTCATGTATTTTTTTTACTTAATATGAGTTTGTAATATCCTAAACTCAATTCTTCCCCTTTAATCTGAGCCCATAATAGCAAGTCCATCAGGATCTAGCCCTAATCTACTAGTTATTCTATTGTCAATGCTTAACGTGATGCATTACAGGTCTGTAGAAATGTTTCATGAAGATGAGGGGAACATCAAGAGAAAAGTCCCTACTTTGTTTCACTCTAAGAGATAATGTGATCATATTCCTTAGCTACAGTGGGGAGTGGGAATATTATTGTTTTTTAAAATAAATAGAGTAAATATCTTCTTTCAATCATGCAAAAGGTTTATAAATACCCAGATGTTCATATATCTTAGCACTGGATGATTTAATAAAAAATAAATTGACTTTGCCTTCACATAATGTATCTGCTTAGATATGGTTAAACTCCCCAGACAAATGATAGTTGCTGCCATTTGCTGAGCATCTACACACGCGAATGCCAGTGCTCCTTACAACCCTGGATGATTAATTTCCCTGTCTTCATTTTATAATGAAAGCAGAATGATAAAGCCTTTAGAAGTTATGTTTCTTACTTAAGGTCTGAAGCAGGATTTAAATCCAGTTTGTTTGATTATTCAGGCCCCATCTGTTTCCCCACGACATACTGCTTCTCTGTAGAATGAAACCAGTGTTTTCAATCACCTTAGTGCTCAATTCAGTGTTCAGTGAGGCCAGTATGGCTTTTCCCTCCAATATTTTATGGTATTTCTTTACCTAGTCATTGAAAAATAATAACATTATAAACTGTCAATTTTTTTCTGATTCTCAAACTTAGGGTGAAAGCTGCTACTTTCTAAAAAATATATTTCATAACTAGGAGAGTAATATTTTATATAATAATTTGGTTATTGAGGTATATAAATCTTTTTTTTAACCTGTGAATTGGTCTTCTGTCATAGTATTACCAGCATGCCAGGCACCTGACATTAAGCAGAGCTTTTCCAGATAAATTCCATATGGAACCTACATCACCACCAACGGTAAATACTTTATGTATGGGTTATTTGTTTTGAAAGCTAAATTTCTTATTTGTGATAAGTTCTAACAATGCCTTTTAATTGGAAGTACACAAACTATTATGCTTTTTCATAGTGTGGTATCAAAGCAAAGAATAGAGGAACTGACAAATGAGATCAAGTCAAAGCCCCCGATTCAGAGTTAGCCTTACGTATGGGATCAGCAGACAGTCAGCTAATTCATGTCACTGGAGAAGCACCCCCATATTAAAATTCTCTCTGCCTTGATGCTTAAAACCGCTCCATTAGACATCCATTCTTTTGAAACTTGTTCAAAACTAAACTGGACTGCTTTAACAGGAAGTTAATTTGCTGTCTGAGGAAGTGTTTAATATAGGGTGACTACTTGGCAGGAGTAATATAAAGTGAATTCAAGCACCACAGGAGGAATTGGGCAAGAGGAGCATTTCTGTTCCATTCAGCAGTGCCCACCAGGGAGTCTTCTAAAGTCCAACTGGACATTGTATTCCTGAGACTAGGCCACTGGTCATCAGATTCACCTAGAAGGATATAAGCAGGAAACACAGCTTGAAGTAGGGCAGCAACAGGCATTTCTCTTCAGAAGGATTAGTCCTTACAGCAATCTATGTAGCGGTCCAAGAACTGAACTTCTTTGCCCCCCTACCCACCAGGTGAAAGCTTAGGTGCAAAAAGATGAGACCCATACCATTGGGTATGAGATCCATCTCAGCTCAGTTGTTCCATGCCCCACAGGAGCCAATAGCTTGTGTACATCTCCACAGATAAGATTCCGTGTCTCCACAGGAATATGCCCAATTACAAGAGTCATCCAATTCAGGGATTCCCAAAAGCTATGGATCCTCATCAAGTATTCATAGATCCTCTGAGTTCAGATGTAATTTCCCGATCAGGGGTCATTTTTATCATACACAATTTTGTCTAATAGCACAACTTATGTTTCACCTATATCAGGTGTCTAGAGGAACAGATCTAGAAAATTAACCCAGGGAAAATTTGCCCATAGAAAAGGTGAAAGGGTTTTGTAAATCCCTCAATCTGCACGATTCTAACAGAGTTAATTGCTTAGCTTATTTAGAGGCAGACACTCCACTTGATGGTAATTCAGCTGTAGTCATCCATTTATCTCCTTATTTAACTAAGAAGTATTGAGCATCTACTCTGAGCCAGTTCTTGACTGCAGGATTCAGCTCTTTTTCTATATTTTTTTAAGGTAAAGTATCTTAACCTTAAAATGACTGTACATATATGACATAATAATAATGTATAAAAATAGTTGAAATACAGACTAAGTGCTGTAACAATTTTTTTTTATTTTTATTATTTTTTTTGGTGGGGAAGATCAGCCCTGAGCTAAGATCCGATGGCAATCCTCTTCTTTTTTGCTGAGGAAGATTGGCCCTGGGCTAACATCTGTGCCCATCTTCCTCTACTTTATATGGGATGCCACCACAGCATGGCTTGACAAGCAGTGCATTGGTGCGTGCCCAGGATCCGAACCTGCAAATCCCGGGCCAACGAAGCGGAGCACGTGCACTTAACTGCTGTGCCATGGGGCCGGCCCCTGTAACAATTTTATACATTGGTCTCCCCATTCAAGCTGAGCACTCCTAGAGGGAGGGGATCACGTTTGTCATCTTTGTTTCCTTGGTGGCAGTATGGTGCCTGACCCATAGCTGGTGTTTAATGTGTTTATCAAGTGAGTTATCTCAGTGAATCTTAGGTAGAAGGTCAATTTGATCAAAACCTAGTGATATTTGCTCATTAACTGAAAGAAAAGTGACTGGTGGAATTTCAGGGTCAGCTAAGTGGCTTCGCTTCCAGGATTCTTTCTGGTGGTGACCGTCCATGGCATATCCAGGCTGCACATGTCCTGCAACATCAGTGAGCAAATCCGAAGGATGACACAGAGACTGACAATGTCAGCAGTGTAACATGGCAGTTGAGATTAAAGGCTCTGGAGTCATGACTGCCCTGGTACAAATCTTGGCTCTACCACTATGTGCTGTGTGACCTTGGGCAAGTCATTTGTCCTCTCTAACTCTCAATTTTCTTTTGTAAATGGGAAGAACAAATTTATCGGAGTTGTTACAAAGATTAAATAAGATAACGTGTGTACTGCACCTGGCATATTTCAGTGCTTAATAAAGGATAGCTGTTTATGTAATGAATCTCTCTTGAGCTTGGTGGTACCAGAATCAAACTGAATCAAAGTTAATAGTCCCTGAACGGACCACAAAATATATCCTACTATGTTTTTTATTAAATGCACATGAATAGTGTTTACATCATTGAAAGTCAAGAAGTCATTATAATGTCTGTGTCTTATTTTTGTCTTTGACAGACAGAAGGATTTAAATATCCCAGGCCTTCCTCAGTACCGCCTTCCCCTTCAGGGTCTCAGGCCTCCAGTCCTCAGAGCAGTGATGTGGAAGATGAAGATGAAGATGAGAGATACAATGAGGAAGATGAGGCCGAAAGGGATCGGTTAAATATCAAGTCACCGTTCTCTCTGGGTCATGTTCACGGTAGGAAGAAGAAGCTGCATGGTGAATTCAAGAACTGAATTCCACACTTTCTGGACACAGCTCACTTAGTAAGAACATAGTAAGAATGATTATTTAAAGAGATGAAAATACCGCAAATTTCATTTTCTTCTTCTAAGTATTACCGTGGAATTTATTCTCTGCCTAAAAAGTAGAGGAGATTAAGTGAACGGCAATTTTGTAATTTATAATAAAGTTCAAGTTATTTTCCACAACTCCTTTTTCCCCAGTAAATTTAGGCGTAAGGAAGAGTGTTAATTCAGGGAGGAAGACTGGGAGTGTTTTTAAAATGGTTAATTTAAATAAGCAATAAGAATTTTCATTTACTGGTGTTTTGGTTTTCTGTTTTTTTTGTGTTTTTTTAGTGAGGGAGATTGGTCCTGAGCTAACATCTGTTGCTAGTCTTCCTCTTTTTTGCTGAGGAAGATTGGCCCTGAGCTAACATCTGTGCCCATCTTCCTTCATTTTTTTTTTTTTTTGTAAGTGGGATACTGCCACAGCGTGGCTTGATGGGTGGTGTAGGTCCACTCTTGGGATCCGAACCTGCGAATCCCGGGCCCCTGAAGCAGAATGCACAAACCTAACGACTATGCAACCGGGCCAGCCCCTACTAGTGTTTATTTTTAAATTATCATCACCATAATCCTTTGCTTAGTATTTACACAGCTTCTATACCTTACCAAACAAGTCTCCCATTCCCCCCACAAAGGATCCTGACCTTAAGCATGAATGTGCACTACCTACCTATTTTAAATAACTTGATCTTTAGTGATTATTTTCATTTTTCACATGAGAACCATGAATTTATATCTAGCTTTGCAGACAATCAAAATCCATAAGAGAATAGCTATCCTAAATCCAGATCTTGATGCATATTAATGCATTTTTACACAATCACTTCTCAAATTAATGATAGGAAGATGTTACCCTCTGTACTGTACCATCTGACTGTAACAATTTTTCTTGTTTGTTTAACAAGATAAAATGATTGTTTAAAAGGAAAGCCTTTTTGAAAACTTGGTTAATCTTCCATAGGTGATAAATTGTTAAATCCAAATGAATAAATATATCAACATTTAAAGATTTAACTTTCATTGATAATGTCTTGTTTAAAATTCTTTTAGACATTTAAATAAGATGTGTAAAGCCCCTGCTATGTAACAGAGTGCCATATGAAGGATAACATTTAAAACTATCTTTTAAAAATAATTAGCAAAAAGAGAACATAGAGTCTACTTAATTATAATAATGATTATTCATGATATGTTTAGAGACATTGTTGAATGATTATAGTTAAATATATTTATGTTTTAAATGTAATTAAATCTAAATTGGCAAAAACAAAACCAAAAAACCCCCCATTCACTCTTGGACTGTTTTTCTTATAACTGAGTATTGTTACATTTAGGTCACAGTTAATACCTTGGTTGGTTTATCAGTTGGCCTAGCTCTGTAGAGGCTCTACAGAGCCTTTGGTCATCTCAGTGCTGGACTGTTGATGGCACCAGGGCATAGTAACAGTGATGGTGTGTCAGATGGCTCAAGCCCAATGGAAAACTGTAATCCAGCTCCCCCATCGCCCCATTGTTAGGAAAAAGTAGGAAAATGATGGACACAAGCAACAAATCGGCCAAAATGGAAGATGGTTGCAAACTCGCCTCATTTAGAGCTTCAGGAAGAACGGACATCAATTACCTAAAGCCTAATCCTTGAAAAATGCCCAGTGGGTGCCAATTAACCCAGCGCTGGCAGAGCAGTTTGGAAAGCTCTGCACTGAAGATCAGAAAAAATATGAAATGGATTTGTCTCACAATACAAATACTCATTTGCCGAAGTGCCAGAAAGATCTCAGAATAAAAAAGGATTTCACTGTTACAATAACCATGAAAATGTATTCCTAGTAAAGTGGCATAACGTGTGTATTCAGATGCTACTCTTGATCGGTAATTGGTTAGTCCACTGTCACTGAAAGCATGAGCTATTCAGTAAAATACCTTAATACAAAACTTCAAAATTCAAGTGCCTTTTTAAAATGAAAGAATAGTTCTCTGATTAGAAATGCGTACAAATGAAAGGACACACGGATATTAACTGACTTGCAAACACCTGGTTTTGAGTGGCATATGTAGGAATCAGGGTTTCTGCCCTGCACTTGGTTCTCTATTCAGACAGCTGCTGCCACTTGACTCCATCCCCTTGCTCCCATCACTTATTTATCCTTTCCCCCGTGAGGAGCAACAAATAGGGGTGCTAGTAGATGGCTCTGTGTCTAGCACAGTGCCTTACATACGTAGTTGCATAAATGAATGGTCTTATTGGGAGAAATAGAGATGCAAAAAAATTGATGCTTTTATAGCATGTGTGTATTTATAAGCTGGAGGACAGGAACTATAGAAAATAGTTTGTGTGTGCCTGACCAGCTGACAGCAAGACGTTTTTAATGCATTGTACCACCCTTCCTTCCACGGTAAGAATTAAGGTGAACAGAGCTGGTTTTACATATACCGATGAGAATATAAACTGTTACAAGTGCTATACTAATAGTTTTCCAGGGCACAAGGAGGACTCAGAAGAGCAACTGATCAAGTGTACGTGGGAAGGTCCAAAGAGGCTCTATAGGATGAGCCTAAATTTCTACGAAGTCATGTGGGGGATACAATTGCCAGCTTCACATGGTGGTTGTAGGCTCAAATCAAATTAGAAACGAATTCTTCCTAAAGGGATTTATAGTCCAGTAAGAGGAGACCAACAGGTTATATTCCCAACTCCCCTTTCTCCTGAAGCCGAAGTAAAATGATGTAACTCAAGGTTGATAGGATATAGACTTTAATTTCTCATAACCAGGTAAAGAAGAAATGCTAATTGGAGGCTGATTTTAACATGCCAGGGTCTCTTCACCTTCTCTTGTCTCTCAGGATCACAAGGGTGGCATGGGAGGAGAGGGAACGTCCACTGGGGAAGTCCATGGAAACGAAGAATAATTGAGAGCCCACGCTGGCGGCCAGAGAGCCACACGGGAGGTAGGATACAGAGGCAAAGAGGAGAAGAGCAACGGGAGCTGTGCTGAAGGTGGCTGCAAGTCCAGTCTGGAGGTGGGAGTATTAGTACGTGGATACACATTCAGGGCAGGTATTTCCTAATTTTAAATCAGAAGCCATACAACGTGACAGTTTCTTGACTACTAATCACTGGTTCATTGCAGTTTTGAAAAAGATAGAAATAAAGAGAATTTCAAAGACACCCTAAGAGAGAGAGAAAGTTAAAACAAACTGGGCATAGGGGCCTTTAGTTGACTACTGTGTTAATCAGAGCATCTGTATGGCAGAAGAACATTCAAAGTTTTCAAGTCCCTTGGAGTTGATATTATTTTAACAGCTGTTGGTCATTTAGGTGGCTTCTAAAAACTCTGTTTTAGTGTGAAATACTTAAGACTGTTCTAGTTGGTTGTGGGAATAATTATTTCATGAGGTAGATTTAAAAAGTGTTCTTGGGGGCCAGCCCCATGTCCTAGTGGTTAAGTTTGGTGTCCTCCACTTCAGTGGCCCAGGTTCAGTTCCCGGGTGCAGACCTACACTACTCGTCAGCAGCTATGCTATGGCGGCCACCCACATACAAACTAGAGGAAGGTTGGCACAGATGTTAGCTCAGGGCAAATCTTCCTCAGGAAAAGAAAAAGTGTTTTTGGACTAGGCATAATATTTAAATAGCCAATGTGTACACGTCTATGTCAGTTAAGTAAATAATTCTCAATAAACTGGACATATGCACTGTTTAGAAAATCCACTTTCAAATCAAATTATAATTAATGACAGGTGCCTATTATGATGCCACATAGATTTTTTAATGCTAGCGTATTATTTTTTTTTTTTTGGAAGAGATCAGTGTTACATTAACTTGAATATAGTTTCATTATTCAATTATGAAATAAGATACAGACAAATATAAGCAGGTTTTTGACCACATAGCACAGTGAAACTGTAATTCCAAGTTACAGAGCCATTCACATAAAGATATTCTTTAGTTACGGATGGCAATAAGAATTAACAATAATTTCCACTTATGACATTTATCAATAACACTCTCGATTAGGTCATAAATAATTAACATGATACTCATATTATAATACCAAATGAATACATTATTATCCTTGCTGTAGGTAGGTATGTGTGTGCATATATATATATATATATATATTTTTTTTTTT